CAATTACCGAACGGGGGTGCTAAACCAATCAAAAGTTCGAAGACCTTGCGAGTCTCTCGCACGCTTTCGCCCAACACGCATCTTGCTGAAAATAACTATAACGTCGCCTCGCGCCGCAATAATCCAATTATGGAAGCAGCTCTGAGCGAACAGGGCAGATTCAAGGAGACAGACAGGCCGAAAAGCTGGAAAATATAATGAGCGTATGAAACCATATTCGTGTGCGAGTGCACCATTAAATCTCAAATGTGGCGGTCGCGAGGGACGATTTAAAGTTCTGTAAATCTTTTAAGCCGAAAATAGTCTTAAACTGTCTTAACGTTGACATTTGATCTTTGCTAAAAAAGAGAGGAAATTTAATGATTAAGATGAAAAAAAATTAATTTAAAAAAAAACTGTTGAAATAATGAACTATTTGCCTCCATATTGTTAGTTCTGATAAACTGCAAAAAAAAAGTACAAATTTTAATATCAAGAAAAACAAAATTTTTATTTTCCAGAAGAATTTCTTGATTAAAGTTATCTAACAAAACAAAAATTACAACTGCTATTAAAATTTAAAAATAACAATACCAAACAAACTTAAAAATTTTTTTATAATTATTTTTAAATGTTATCAAATAAATCTCCACAATTTATTGATATTATATCTTTCAACAAAGATCTTTCGCGTTAACAAGAGGTATGTCTTTCTTTGTTCCCTTTTTTCTTTCTTTTTTTCGCACATGGAACGTGTCTCAATTTTCCTCCTCAAGAAGGATCGGTCGGAAGCTGATCCTCCATCTACACATGATCTTGAAGCTGCTTGAGATGTTTTATTCCGCTCTTCGATCTGACGTCCGAACTCGTTCGATTATTTTTTGCTCTCTGCGGCACAAAGAAATAGGAAAAAAACGAGAGCTCTCTTCTTGAATGGGAGAGTCAACGGACCGGCCGGCCGTTGGACGCGGCGCACTCCTCGTGCATGGCGCTTTTGATCGATCCGAGAACGCGCAAGAGAGACACAGACAGCCGAGGGGAAGCGAACGACCTCTGCCGCGCCCCTTCACTTCTTCAATCGCGCGGCCGATTCCTTCCTTCGACGGCCAAGGCCGTGCCGAAAAAAAGAAGAACCAGCAAAACTTTCTCCGCGAATCGTCCGTCGTTGGCTTTCTCCGCCAAACCGAAACATTTGTTTATTTATTCACGCTCCGACCTAATTGCTTTCTGATCAAGTTTAATTGTTTCGACTTTGGGCCATTCAGGAAAGGAAACTTTTAAGTATCTCATGACAAGTTTGGCTGGCATTCAACAAAATTAATAGAAATTATAGAAATAAAGTAGATCAAAATAAATTTCTCTTGAATAATTATAAAAAATAAACAAGCATTTAGTTAAGATATTAATATTTCTGATAATTTATCAACGATTATAGAGAAACTCGTTTTTTCCCTTTTTTAGATAAATAAAATTTCTCACGTTTCCCCCAAAGTTTTTCGCTCGCTCGCAATCTCCACGTTTTTCCGCTCAATTACCCATCTACATGCGCAAATTTTCTCTCGACCCGAGACGCACAAAATTCACTTCAGAAAAATAACTGGCACGCTCAAACGCACAGCAATTATAAAATATTCGCGTGCTTTCTCGTCGGTCGGGATCATTTATTTTATACATATTTTGCTCCCCGTCTGGCTCCCTTTTCGCTGCACGCGGAGACGTGAGGCGTCTTTTGTCGCCGGGATCATGGGGGTGGTTGCCGAGCTGCTGTGATTCAAAATGTGACTCACGCCTACTTCACCGAGACGAGTGAGCAGGGAAAAAAACGAGAGGGAACGTTGCCGAGGACAAGAGAGGAAGGAGCGCACGAAAGAGAGAATGAAAGACGCTGAGTTGCGTGTCTATTGGCTCGAGAGGATTGTCCCAAGCTCAAGCTGCTCGTCGACAAGGCAAAGAATGAAAGGGTGGACTGAAGAATGAGGCGAAAAATTTATGGCCTTCAAACTAGCAAAGAAAAAAAATTTGAAATTATTTAATGGGGGGTTCTCTTGAAATATTTAAATTAATATGCTTTTTTAATAGAAAATTAAAGTCCTGTAAAAATCAATAAATTAAATGCTTAAATTGAAAAAAATATCAATTCGTCCTTTTTTTAGTTCATAATTTAGCTACGGATTATTATTATTTAGTATTTTTTCAATTTTTAAAATTAATTTGAAATGTTTAAAAAGGTTTTATCTACTTTTTTATTTCCCATTTTTCTTTAAGAAAAGCATAGCAAGAAATGAAAGCACGATTTTTACAAGTTCAAATGAAAAGCTCTTGGTTTGCAAGGACTGCACGTTCAACAAGTATATTTAGTGCAAATAAAATTAATTGCAGTCTCGCGGCCTTTGTGCAGAAATGACCCTACGTAGTTCTGCCCTTTATTATTTTTTGTCGTCCTTCCCTTTGCCTCGCATTTCACCGACTAGAACAAAAGAAAGCCATTCACAATGTCGCTCACGGCTGACAGCAATTCCTGTCTTTCCGAGTGACAAAGCAGAGGACAGATGGGCGCACCTCGTACTTGCTCTCCTGTTAACAAAACTCGCCTTTTTAATTGCTATGCACTCTCGTCTCTTTGTCCCTTCGGCGGAATGAAAAGCGGCGAGCCGACTCTGTCGAACACCATCAGGAACGAAATTAATTTTTATTGCAGGAAGTAGCGGTCGCCTGGCTTTGAGAATGCGCGGCGCCTCTTTGTTTCACGGGGGTTTTATTGGCCGACAAGGGGATTCTTTGAAAGATGACACCCTTTGATCTCGATTCAGCAAAGTCCAGATGAAATAGCCAAACCTTAAATGAGCGTTCAACAAAAATCAATTATATTAAATAGCTTTAAAATAAACGATCATAAATAAATTTTGATGATTTTTCTTAAAAATATTTTGTGCTAAACCTTTTGGAAATTTCTTCAGCAATATATGAATTACAAAATATAATCATTTTTAATTGGAAAAATTTTAACTCTTTACAAAGACACATAAAAAAGTGCTATTTTATTTTTAATTCTTGTTTGAATAGGTTTTTTTTAATATTTTGTAACATTTGATATTGATTTCAAGGATAATTTCAAAAGTATCTTATTTAAATTTGTTTGTAATCATGCATCTTGTTTCATTCATTTTAAAATGTCAAATGAGCCCCGAAATAGTCATTGACTTGTCTTTTACAATAATAAATCGGTGAAGTGGGATTGCGTTCGATAAGGGCCGGCTAATCGCAAGGCCGTGTGCATTGTGCTGTGCGTTGCGGTATCCTCTACTCTTTCACTGTCCGCTGTGAATAATTTGAAAGTACGAGAGTGTAATGTGCAGCGTAATGAGTCACGCGCTGTTGTAAGCGAGATGATTGTCTTATCGCCCCTGACATTTATTCAGAAACTAAAATACAAAATAAAAAGATTTATTATATGCGTCGTGCTTTTTTGTTTTAAGCGAAAAAATTTGGTCATGCAACACTGCTGCCGCGTAATTTGTAAAATGTATAAAAACTTTTCCACGTCCTGTTCGGCCATAAAAAAGCCCAAACACGCGCACTCGGTGAAAAACGATTTTTCAAACAATCCGAGTTGTTTTGCAAACACCGAGTTTATCTGAAAGCGATACTGGGAAAAGGAGAACAAGCGAGCTGAGAGAATTTAATCCCATGAAGTGCCTATTCAGAGCTCATCCGCACCAGAATGACGCGCATTCGTGTCACGCGTTTCTGCGGCATTGATGCAACAAACGAGGCGTCGAGCGCAGGTCGAGCGCGGAAGTGACCCAGGTCAAATCGGCACGACAGAAATTGCGATAATTGGATGCGGAGAACGGATGTGAAAGTTTCTTTGCAGAGAAACAAAGAAAAGTACGACGAGAATATAAAAAAATCACACAGGCTTTGTTTTATGCTATTGAATCTAGAATTAACTTTGAAACACACAAATATGCCATGAATATACAAATATCTTCATTTGAAACTCATTCAAATGCAACTTCAACTGCTTAATTCACAAAATTTAATTTTACTTTTATGTGTGACAAGTTTTTAATGTAATAATAATATAAATTAATTTTTTTCATTCAACTATTTTTTATATTTATGTTAAAGATTTTAATGAGAACAAATTCAATTTGATTTTCAGCCACCTACTGCTTTTCCCTGCGCATTCATATTTATAATTAATGATTTTCACTGGAAGTCTGCATGTCAAACTTGTTAACTTGGTCCATTCATCTCAAAATCAGCATCCTCCTCCCATTTCCCATTCCTTCCTCGTTATAATATTTTGTACCTGCTTTTCTGACAGCATCTAGTTCATTTAGGGATTTTAGGGATGCCGTGGCTGCCCCGCGCATACCTGGGTGGTCTCTTTTCATCCTTGCCGCGAGCCATTTCGGTTTGTGTTATTGGAATGGAATGCGATTCGCGCGCGCTCATGCACCTCGCCAGGTAGTGTCACTGGCCAGCAGCCGCAGCCGGTCGCACGCAAAACAATAGGCCGTTTTTTATTTTCCCAGATTAAATTCGCAAACCGGAATTTGTTAAATTGGTAATTGAGCCCCCAACTGTCTTTATTTATTATTTTTATTGCCGAATTAATTAAAGAAGCATCTCAAGCATCAAATGTGATCTTTTTAAAGAAAAAAACATTTTATTTCCACAGAAATTTCTTTTGCACTGAAAATAATGAAGAGTTGATTAAATTGATTTAGACGGTTTTGAATTGATTTCAATTAATTGCTCCGGAACAAGGAAAATAATAGCGTCCTTTTAATGATGATTTCGATCCTATGACTCATGGGATGATAAGAGAGTGCCAAAATTTAACAATCGACTTCCGCGAATCAGAAAACGACCGTGACGCATTCCTTCGCGGAATTCGCTAATGAATAAATTTACGCCCCAATCTTGAAGCAACAAAAATATTGTCAATCTTCTGTAATTAGCCAATTTTATGGCTGAGGAAATAATTTGAATTTTTATTTGCGTGATTGCAGAGGCGCTGTTGCAGTCGAGGCCGCTGCCGCACATCCCGGACTTAAGTGGCGACGGCGGCGAACTGGGAGCGCCGCTGCTGGGCTCAATGTCACTGCTCGAGGGCGCCGCCCGCTGGACGTCCAAGGAGAACCTGCTGGCTCAGGAGGAGGACGACCCGCAACTCTTTGTTGCCCTCTACGACTTTCAGGCCGGTGGCGAAAACCAACTGAGCCTTAAAAAAGGTAAAATCAGCTTGAAATAAAATTTTTTTTAATACATTTTTTCAAATTATAAAATAAATTATTGAATATTTTAGAATTTTTAATAAAATAAATACTCATTTATTTCTTTGACTTTAGGTGAACAAGTTCGAATTCTGAGTTACAACAAAAGCGGCGAGTGGTGCGAAGCCCACTCAACAGCTGGCCAAGTCGGCTGGGTTCCCTCAAACTACGTGTCCCCTGCCAACTCTTTAGAAAAACATTCATGGTAAAATTTAACTTCTTCTCATTCTTTAAAAACCGATTTAATGGTAAAATCGCCTCTCCTTAGGTACCATGGGCCTATTTCGCGAAACGCAGCAGAATATCTGCTCAGCTCGGGCATCAACGGCAGCTTCCTGGTGCGCGAGAGCGAATCGAGTCCCGGCCAGCGTAGCATCTCCCTGCGCTACGAGGGCCGCGTCTACCACTACCGCATCAACGAGGACCCTGAGGGCAAGGTCTACGTCACGGCTGAGAGCAAGTTCAACGCGCTGGCCGAACTTGTGCACCACCACTCCATGCATGCCGACGGCCTCATCACGCAGCTGCTTTATCCTGCGCCTAAGCACAACAAACCTACCGTCTTTGCCCTTAGCCCTGGTATGTAATTTTAAGTTGTAAAATTTTAAAACTATGATTATTTCATCTGCAGAACCAGACGAATGGGAAATTAATAGGACGGATATTGTGATGAAACACAAGCTAGGTGGTGGGCAGTATGGTGATGTTTATGAGGCCGTATGGAAGAGATACAACATGACTGTAGCTGTTAAAACTCTTAAGGTGAACAAAATTAATCTATTTTTTATCAAGAACTCTATTTAATAAAAAGTATTTTAACATTTTTGGTATAAATTAAAGACCTAGAGCTAATGCTTGCATGTTTTTTTCTGCCAATAGGAGGACACAATGGCCTTGAAGGACTTTTTGGAAGAGGCGGCCATCATGAAGGAGATGAAGCATCCGAATTTGGTTCAGCTGCTGGGCGTTTGCACTCGCGAGCCGCCGTTCTACATCATCACCGAGTTCATGAGCAAAGGCAACTTGCTCGACTACTTGCGCACAGCCAACCGCGATCAGATCAACGCCGTCGTTCTCATGTACATCGCCACTCAAATCGCCAGCGGAATGTCCTACCTCGAAAGCAGGAATTTCATACACAGGTAAATGTAAATGTGAATGTTTTTCACAGGTTATAATTTTTTATTTAATCGTCTAGGGACTTGGCTGCCCGAAACTGTCTGGTTGGTGAAAATCACCTGGTCAAGGTGGCCGATTTCGGACTGGCAAGACTGATGCGTGACGACACGTACACTGCTCATGCAGGTGCCAAATTCCCCATTAAGTGGACGGCCCCAGAGGGCCTAGCGTACAATAAATTCTCAACCAAGGTTTGTATTCAGCTTGAAATTTTGATCATAATTTATTACATGAAACAATTTTGCAGTCTGATGTGTGGGCGTTCGGGATTCTACTTTGGGAGATTGCGACATACGGCGTGTCTCCATACCCGGGGATTGAGTTGACTGACGTTTATCATAAGCTAGAGAAGAACTACCGGATGGAGTGTCCGCCGGGCTGCCCACCTAAAATCTACCAGCTCATGTGCACGTGCTGGCGGTGGAACCCCAATGATCGCCCCACTTTCAAGGAGATCCACCACTCGCTCGAGAACATGTTCCAAGAGTCGAGCATTACAGAGGGTGTGTTTTTTTTTTTTTTTTATTATACAAATATTTCTTTTATTAAATGGTTAATTTGCAGAGGTGGAGAAACAACTGCAAGGAGGAACACCTCAACTGCCTTACAAGAAGCCACATGCTGGCAGCACCGGGAACATTCATGGCCTTGTTGAACAAATGGCAGCTGGTAAGTTTTTTACTGTCATGTCTTTTGCTGCAAAATCATCATCTTCTATCTCAATTCTAGCTGAGAGTGGCAGCAAGTTGTCTACCTTTGCAGCTCCCTCTACAAACAAGGGGGCCATGGTGCAGCTGAGACGGACTACAAACAAACGAGGCAAGCAGGCTCCGGCCCCACCTAAAAGAACGAGGTAAATTTGAATATAATTTGCTTTTTTCCAGCCACTTACATTAATATTTTTTAGCCTATTGTCTTCGTGCAGCTCTTTCCGGGACAGCACTTACGAGCAGGACGCGGCAGACGGGGACGAGGATCTAAACGGTATTGATAAGATATTTGAAGGTATCAGGTCTCCTCCTATTTGCCAGAGCACGCTAAATTCATGAGCTTACCAGCCTCGTAACTCGTAACTTTCTCAACCTCACTCTTGTAACATACGTCCAAACGGAAAGGAAGGAGGACCTAAACATGCTTCTCTCTGGTGTCGAAATAACGTGATGCTTGTGTAAATAAAGCGCTGTATAAAATATTAAACGGCATGAAACGGAGCAATGCGCTTTGCTTAACAGCTTCGAACGCCACTAATTATGCCAATTTGGGCACTGGACTAATTAATTCCACAATTAACAGGGATCACAAAAGATCTGCAGACCATGAGTAAGGGGGACAGTGAAGGCGAGCTGCAGGATCAAACCCCAGACACTGATGACTCGGGTGCTCACTCTTACCCTGAAGTAACCGGTGCTTTCTTCCCAGGGTGAGTAACAGATTAAACAAACAAATTTAACTATAACAGTTTCTACATGAACTTGAAAATAAAATACTGAAAATTTAATTCATAATATGTTAAAACCTTGAAACCACATTCAAAAATACTATACAAAGATCCAAATTCCTTATTTTTTTCTTTAATAATGCACATCTTTAAAATCAATTGCAAGTCCTCTCCATGATGATTTTTTTTTCAATGCACTTAAAACTTAAAAACTAAAATCTAAACCGGCCTTAAATTATTATTTATCACCACAATCAGCATTTCTAATGTCAATTTTGTCAAATTATAGTCGATTACTGCCAAAAGCAAGTAATTTTTCATCTAGTTTTCAGAAAAACTTTAATATGAATTCTTGTTTTTTGCTTTTCAGCACTTCCTCGTTCAAGCGAGCGCCCGTAATGGGCAGCGCCAGACTGGAGCAGCGCACTGGCAAGAAGTCCAAGACCTACCCACCGAAGGAGTCCTCCAATCCGAAGGTGCATGTGGCTGCCCTGGAGGTGCAGAACGTGAAGCGAGCAATCAACCGGTATGGCACCCTGCCCAAGGGGGCGCGAATAGGCGCCTACCTGGAGTCCCTTCGCCAGAGTGGCCTCACCCAAGAAGCTGCTCCCGCCCCTGAAGACGAGCCCATTGACGATCAGCAGAACCAAAATCAAATGACAAGAAGCAACTCTTCGGGCGGGGGCGGCTTCCACCCCTTGTCCCCCAAACAGAGGGCGCGAGAACTCCGCACCTTCCGCACCAACAGTCCCTCGAGAGCCCACCAGCCTTCTTTGGCTGACCTGGAGTTTCCCCCTCCACCCTCCGACCTTCCCCCTCCACCTGAGGAGTTTGACAATGACCGACCTTTCACCCCTGAACTTCCACCTCCACCCTCAGGAAAGCAGGCAACCCCAAGTCCAGAAAGGCGCCGGAAAGTTGTCCCGTCACCCAGGGCGGTCAGAAAGGACCGGCCTGAAGATGTGGCAACCCTGGCGCCCTCTGTGGAAGAGGCAAGTTCAAGATTCGGGGTCAGTCTGAGGCGGCGAGAGCCCTCAACAGACTCATGCAGCAGCGCCAAGTCAGCAAAGCAGAGCAGCGACCCTGACTCTGCTTCGCCAGGTGGAAAGTCTTCCGAAGACTCAGGGCGCGGCTTCCGGGCCAAGGAGCTGATGGAACTGAAGTTGGCCGCCGAGATTAAAGAGAAGGCAGACTCAAAGTACGGGAAACCAAGAGAGATTTCACCAGTGGACTCTTCGCACATGGCCAACGATCCGGCCGCACAACTCGTCGCAGAACTCGGAGAGACAATGCGCGCTGTCAAAGACGTCAGTCCTCCTGAGAAGAGCGCCAAGGTGGAGGCAAAGTCTGGATTGAGAAGGGTTGGTGAGGCGACGGCGGCCAGTTTCAAGGCGCAGCTTAAAAAGTTTGACTCGAAGAAATCGAAGGACGAAGAGCCGGAAAACCCCATCAACTTTAAGTCAAGACTCAGAAAGGTCAGTAATATTTCAATCTGTTTTAATGAACTACAAATAAATTTATTAATAAAATTTAACACAAAATCCTTTGTGATTTCAGGTGGACAGTTTAGAGAAGAACAAAAAGCAGGAAGACGAGGAGAAAGAGAAGGCGGTGGAAGTGGCCAAGGAGACTGAGAAGAAGCGTGACAGTGGCGAGGGCTTAAAAACAACTGATGAGCCAGAGGACAAGCGCAAGAGTACAGGCAGCATCAGCAGCCTGAAGAAGCTCTGGGAGAACAAAGAAGGCTCGGCGGACGAGAAACAAGCGGCTGAGGAACCTGAGGAAGACCCAAAGGCGGCTGGGAAGCGAGTGTGGCCGCCTGCGGCCGCTGACGAAAAACCGGTAGTGCCAACCAAGCCCCTGGTGAAGGCGACCAAACCTGTCCTGCCGGCCAACAGCAAAGGCCCTTCGATCTACGCCACCCCCACGCCGAGCAAAACCTCTCCAGGCGGAAACAAGCGTTCCAGTCCTCCCCCTGTTCCGAGTGAAAAACCACCCGGCCCGACCAGCACGGCCACCGCCAAGGACAGCATTCTGGAAATCTCTCAGGCCCTGGAGACGAGCCTGGCGTCGCTCAAGTCCTGCAACAACGTCAGCACCTCGAGCATCATCCAGTTGTCGGACAAGGTGGGCCTTTTCCACGGCTCGTGCCTCAGCTTTTCGGACGGCATTCCGCCGCACGGCCGCTTCCAGTTCCGCGAACTGCTCACTCGACTGGAGCAGCAGGCGCGCCAACTGCGCTCGGCCGGCTCGAGGAACTCGGCCGACAACGCCAGACTCTTCACCGACGTGCAGAACACGATCAGGGACGTTGTGAATGCCGTGCAGAGATAAATCGACAAACTAGTTCTTCCCCCACGCACCCCAACCCTCCCCCAATCAGACCCAGGGCTCGCAAAGGCTTGTTTCTGAAGAACAACCGGAACAAAAATTATTATCAAATTGATAAATATACATGATATATATATATTCAAATTAATCTGGCTTGGATAGAAATTGAAAATCGTTAAGTATATGTTATTTATTGAAACAACTGGCGTTAATTTAGAAGCTGGTTGATATATAAATTATCAAACCCTTGAAGTGGGAAGAAAAGCACAGATCAAAGGCTTTGAGTAAAATTATTTTTTGTAAAAGAACGAACATGCATTGATCTTCTTAAAAGCGGAAAGGGATTGAATTTTTTCAGCTCTCAAATTAAGTGTCAGTTTTTTTGCTATAAAATACTGAATAAAAATAAACTTTAGTTCTAAATCTAGATGGTTGTCCCGTAGTCAAAAGCCTTCGGAGCCCACGATGGTTAGCAGCTGCTTAAACCCAGTTCCCCCGCCCCGCTCCAACTTAGCTTAAAGCTACCCCGCAACTATGGACACACACACTTGATGATTACACACTATTACTACGGCTTGGTAATTTGCAGAAATAGGATTTTATTTTCTGTGATATGATCCCTCGATTTTTGCATTTGTGCAAAATTAACACGGATGATTAGAACGACTACTTCTTCATTTTTCGTCTTTTGTTACGATCTAATTATTATATAAATATATTCTTATTAAAAACTATTACTATACGATTACATTCTCACCTTGATGCGAACTGTCTTTGTTTTTTTTTCGTAACGTGTAGCGAGCAGTCAAGTCTCGTCTGCCCCCAGGCCAAGGGGGCGAAAAACAACTGAGAAGATGTGGATTTTCTCGTGCTAGTCTTTTTTATGAGCAACACATACACGCGCGCACTTTTGTATAAAATTCACTCTTAATTAATAATTTCCTTTGGTTTTTCGTCTCCGCAAGTGAGAGATTTGTGAGAGAGAATAAATGCATTAATCTTGAGTAAGTTTTCTTTAATTCAATAAAATGGAAGTCGCAGTGGATGAAACGCAATTCGACGCTCACATATTTTCAAAATCAGTTGGAGGATGACAGAAAAAATTCATTCCGAGACCTCTTTCTGACATTCCGCGCGAGAGTTATTAATATTATTTATATATATTCGTTGATTAAAAAAAAAAAAATACCAGCTGCGTTTTGAATACTGTGTTTGATTAATTAATTTGATGTTCTGTGATTCTCGGTTTCAGCTTTTTTCTTCGACACACACACCACACTTAAGAAATGTATAACATGATTTGATATTGCCATCGCGTTGGTGAAATTTATTCTGTAAGGAAATACATGTGAAAAAATGATGGACTCTTTATATTTTCCTTTTGTACATAACAAGAAAACAACAAAATGAATTGATACAAGACGAGAAAAAAATGGATAATTGCTATTTGTAATCGTATAAAACGTAACATGTAATGAGTGTGAAATTTATAAAAGCAAAAATGAATAAAATTAGCAATGCTTAAGATAAAATATTATTTTTATTTCATAGCCAGCTTGAAAACAATGAATAAATTATTTAAAATAGAAAGTAATAAAACAGAAACTAATTTCATAAAAAATATAATAGAAGAATAAATTCAAGGAAAATCTGTTTTTTTTTTTACAAATAAATTGAGGAAATCTGGGGAAAGTCCGGAAGGTGTTTTTATTATAATGAAAAATAGGCCCGAATTAATTGTGAATAAAAGTAATGGAAAAGTTTTTTTTATATTAAAAATCGTTAAAAATCTTTCTTATTTGTCTGGATCTCGCTGTATTCATATTCATAAGCAGAGGTGCTAGCTCTTGTTGGTGCTGGCGCTGACTGAGGACTGAGAGGGGAGGGGTTGAAGCAAGGTAAACAAAAACACATGGATATCGGATCTCTTCATTCTCTGATATAAATTTTAATTTCATTGCTATTGAAAAATTAAGCTTTGTGCACTTGAGTAGGAATTGTTGAAGAGCCCATTTTTAATATCTAACAGTAAGTTCCTTTTTTTTTTGAAAATTAACTAAAATTTCTAATGTTTTAAGAAACCTTTTGGAATTTGATCAAAACTTTTCTTGATTGTGATGTAATGAATTTTTTTATGCATATATTTCACATATATTTCAGTTAACAGGACAATTTTTAGGGAATATGATTCTGAAAATTAATTTTTATGAACTGTGTATTTATTTCAGACCACAAAATGTTGAGCATCTCGAGAAGTTTGGCTCTCCGAGCGTCAAAGCCGATTTTCCTCAGTCGGTTTTTCTCATCAAAGACTGACTCATCTTGTACTTCGAAATTCCTGCAACCTTTGAACAGAAATTTTTCAATCGGCCGGATCCTCCGATCAGAGAAGTTCGACGCTGTGCAGACCAAAGTGGCCAAGGACGTGATCCTCTTTCACCACGAAAACCCGAAGTTCTTCAAGATGCTCAACCTCTTCGGGGTGTCCCAGTTTGCCTTTTGGATGTACCTGTCGTACTGCGCGACTACCCTGAAAGATGTCCCTGTCAAAGAGGATTCAAATGCTCCTTGGTGGATGAGCATAAATCTTGGCGAAAAGAAGTATAAAAGAACGATCACCATCGTCAGTTTTCTAATAGGTAAATTTTGTAAAAAGAAAATGGAGAGATGTTTTAATCCTTTATGATTTTTAGGCTATGGAATTTTGGCAGCCGGTTGGTTTTACACGCTGAAAGCGGTCCGGTATTTAATTCTGAGGAAAGGAGGAACCGAAGTGTCTTTTGTTTGCTACACCCCATTCGGAGAAAATAGAATAACAACCATCCCTTTAAAAAATGTACGTACAAAGAATATTATTGTTTAATTTTTTTCGTTCAATTTTTAATTATTTTTTTAGTTGAGCTGCCCTCAAAGTCGACAAGCTTGCAAAGTGCAGCTGCCAATCAAAGCTAAAAATTTAAGGACTCACTTCGTACTCGACATGAAGGGCGAGTTCAAGAACCCTAAACTTTTCGACAACACCGTTGGATTAAAGAGGAACTTAAAGTAGAAATTTTTTGGTGAGTAAAACTTTATTATAACAACAAACTCCACAAAAATTAAAATAAGTTTATTTGAGAATGAAAGCGACGAACATGAAGATTGCCAAACACTGCACAATTCTCTGGCCCCAGTACAACCTGAAATTTCAGTTTTATTCGAATGGTTGTAATTTATTGAAATCAATTTTTTACTTCTTAAGCTTTTTCTGAGCCATTGTCAAAGATGAGAGCTCGTCCTTCAGAATGAATTTCCTTATTCCGGTGACGTAAATTTTAATGTATTCTTCCCAGCCGATCGTTTTCACATTAACTGGAAATCTGGAATTATTTCTGAAATTAAATTTTTTTTAAATTTAAATTTATAAAAATATACAGTTCCCTGTCTGTTTTGTTTAAATTCAAATCCAAATTTTCCATAAGAGTTGCACCGAAATTCCATTGATGGGTGGAGAAGAATTCCCCGGCCTTTGCTGATTTCATAGTTTTCTGGCAAATTTTCACCATCCTGCACTCAAATTAATTTCACGAAATCAAATTTAAATATTAAATAAAAAAAAACCTACATCGGTTTTAGTCCCTGGAACTTCATGATGAGGTCCAGAAAGTAAGCAGGGAGGAAGTGGAGGAAGATCTGAGTGAGTCGGTGCATCAAGAAATTGATTCGGAAAGTGCAGCCCGGGTACCACTGGACGTATCTGCTCGGCACCTCCCTGCCTGCCTTCACAATGTACCGCCTCAGTTCCTCCCACTGCAGAGGATTCAAAGTGCCCGTAGTGCAATTATACACTTGAATCTTCTCCGGCCTGCGTCAATTTTGTTTATTTATAACCAGTCATAATTATAATAAATTTGTTTTGAAATAGAATGGATTATTAAAAAATTACCCAAAATTTGAAATTGATTTGCGAGCAATAATTTGATTTTAACTTTTTTTAAGAAAAATAATTGTAAGCACCTGTGCCAAAACAAATTGGCTGCGGCCACCAAGAGCGTGTTGACCACGATGTCAACAGGAATGATGTCGACGGTCATATTTTTATCGCACAAAACGGACCGGATTGTTCCACGACTCACTTCCATAACGATTCCTGTTATTCCAGAGGTGTTGTCGATCCAGCCAACCTGTGGCTCTTTCACGGCAGCAGTAACTGTTTGAATGTGAAAAAGTTCATCAATTTTTTTTTTCGTAAAATTAGATTAATCCAATTTATTGATTAATTTAAAATATTTCACAATTATGCTAATATTTTACTGCCATAAAAGATTACTAAATTTTGATTTCACAATAGAAAAACGTTTTGATAAATTAATAGAAAAGTTCTAATTTAGAACATTCAACTAATTAACCAATTTTCTGAACCACAATAATATATCTTGATTTCATGTGAATTTTTCAGGCAAGGAAGTGTTTAAATCAGTTATAATTTACCGGTGTTATATAATTAATCCAATTATTTGTAGAATTTACCTATTGACGGGCGCACAATAGCTGTAGGCAGAGTTGATGCCTCCCTTTCAACAATCACCTCAGCCAAAGCCTTTGTAAATGTGTAGGTGTTTGGGTGGCCGCCGATTAGCCTAAAGTTATTAATTATTTCATGTGTTACAAAATTTATTATTTAAATACTTGAGAATTATTTCATTCAGGCAATTTTTATTTTTATGCTCAAAACTTACACGGGCTCGATTCCATTCAATATGTCTTCTGGCATGTTTTTGACAAAATTGATCAGCGTGTCAGGGTCAACGATAGGGTCATAAACTTTTTCCAAGACCTCGCGTTTGTCTGCGTTAGAATAGGCCGTTGAGGTGTGAACAAAGGCCTGTAAAATATCAACATGACCAAAAATATTCATTAATTTTAAAAGCATTCTCATGTTTACTATTTGAATCTCCTTTTTTTAAGTTTCTTCGAGTCCGTTAATTTAATTTCATATTCAGGTTAATACGCATTACAGAATTTTTGTAATTAATTTTTTTTTTAATTTCTATAAATTAATTGCAGTTTTAAAATGTTCTTATTTTATTTGTTGAATATACAGATTTTTCCTTTTTTTTTCAAATTAAATTATGTCGTTATCAAAATACAATGAATTAAAAATTTCAATTGTGATTATCTGAAAATTGATCAATTTGTTCATTTTTTCACTTAAGATTTTGCTTTGTTCATACCTTGAGACAGGGCAGTTGTTTGCACAAATCGATGATCCTCCTGGTGCCGAGGGTGTTCATCTCGACGGCCAGGCCGATGGACTCGTTGAAGCGAATGGTGGCCGCCGTGTGGAAAACGACACTCACCTCTTGTCGCAGAATCTCAAAGTCCGCCTCGCTCAGTCCAAGATTGGGCAACAAAACGTCACCGGCCACCAATCGCAACTTTTCCAGTGCCCTCGAGTCCTCCTTGCGTACCCTGTTGAAAACCTAATCCATTCCAAAAAATTTGAATATTTATTAAATACTATAATAATAAATTTACGGAGTTTTTGGTGTAGTCGCGAAATCTGCTGTCCACGTCTTTGCCATTTTTGGGTCGGACGAGGCAGAAAACGTTCTGGACACCTGGACAGGATCGAACGAGCTTCTCAACGAGCGCTTTTCCCACGAATCCGGTTGCCCCAGTCACAAAAATGGAGCGACCGTTGTAAAAGTCTGCGATTTGACTGTTAAAAAATTTGATATTAATTTTAGGGGAAAACAGTAAAAATTAAAATTTTAGTGAGAGTGATTTTACAAAAGAAAATTTCCATTTCCTTTGTTCAAAATTTTTGTTGTGGCAGCCTCTTTTTTAGTCTTTTTTTACAGGCTAATTAACTCATTTTTTTTTTTTTTATCTCAAATTGATTTTTTACTGAAGATGTCAGCACTGTTAGAGAAATGGTTGAGAAAATCGAATAATAAATGGCTCTAAGTCCCAGCTATTTCATGAATAAGAATTGTGGAAAAAAAGTTTAAAAAAAAAACGCATTTTTGCTGCGCTTTGTTTTTGGTAATAATGTTTACGAGGTCAAATCATTTCATTGAAAATCAATAAATGCTTCTCCATACACGAAATAAAAATGCTGTTGAAAAGAAAACGGGATTTATTTGAAAAATTAAATAAATTTATAATTATTCATTGCTGAACATTAGTCGCAACGCAAGACACAGAGTTGCAGTAATTATAAAATAAATAAAGGTTTGCCATATTGACATTTTGTATATTATATGGACAGAGACATTTTAAAAACACACTTCTTATTATAGGGCGTATTTTTATCTTTGCGTGTCCATACAATTAAAGAAAAAAAAGGCATTTACCTTTCGCAATTATTCCGGCAGGCGTCCATGTCCGAGCTAGTGTCGCGTCCAAATGCGGAGCGCCGCGTTCTGCAGACCGATTTTGCTTTGGCCCCCACCAGCCAGCCGCAGGTTTTGTTTTGCCGCAAAGGTACGTGTCTATGTAAAAAGGTGTGAACCGAGACACTTGCTTATCAAGGACCATAAACCGAAATTGCCTGCTGCTTTGCTTATGGTTAGGCGCTTTATCTGACTTTTAGTAAGGCCGCCCGCGTTCAAAACCGAATTATGGCTGATAAAATAAGCGAAAACTGAAAAAAATGCGTCCTTGTCTTAACTCAGACCTCATAAAAATAAGAAAAATATAAAGATTAAGTATTTTTATCTCAAATCGCAGATTAGTTTGAATATATTCATAAAAGTTCCAATATTCTAAAATGCTGAATAAAATATTTTTTCTTTCCTCAAATTTGACGCCGAAGTTGTTAATGCTAGAATGACTGGTGATAAAATTGAATTCCTATTCGAATTTTGAATCAAAATTTTGGTTCTAGCAAAAATTAAAGTAAGCCCTTTTCTTCAAATTTCTATTAATAATAGCAAAATAATAAAATTGAAAATATTTACCATTTCTGATGATATTTTATTTTTTATATAAATAATTTGCATGAAGTTCCGATGCGATGAGATTTTTCAAACTATTGTTTAACAATTAATGATGAAGAAGCATTTAAAATTTTATTAGAAAAAACAGTTGACTCAAAATAATACTGAAATAAAAAAGTCTTTTTCTAGAACTGGAAAATGGCTCTTAGGTTCTGTCCGACTTATATTTGCATCAAAATGGCACAATTGTGGAATTAATCAATTTTAGTTTCCCTACAGAGGTAAGATGCGAACAATTTTATTTTATTAATTAACCTGAAGTAACCTTTGATTTTTGCAACGAGCTGTTGTGACTTGTTTTGCCAATTTTTGCAGATTAAATGAAAAGACGTCAGACGCACTTAATTTGTATTATTTCTGGTTGCATTAAAATGTAGCAGAGTCATTTGACGCAACTGACATTAGCGCTGAACACTATGAACCTCCAAATAGTGCCCTTTAATGCAGTCATTCGCGTCATTTGAGCAAAAAAAATGCGTCTGGAAATGCACACCTTGGCCTTGGAATGGCATTGTTCTCCAACATTGAAACTTCTTCTTTGACGCGTCCGTCAATACATCGCATTATCATAGCAATTTGAGCGTTAAATTTTTCTCTCTCTCCGATATAAAAAGTAAGAGATGATTTTATGATGAAGTTAAAAAAAAATGAAGGTCGTCAAAATAGAAGAATGATAGAAAGAAAAAACCTAGACCAAATCTTGTTACCACGATGATTTTTGCTAAGCGAATAATACAACAAATCTGAAATCTCAAAGTTAATTTAAGTGTAATATAATATTTTTTATTACTTTCTCTCTATTGACAATTTAACGATATTTTAATATTTCACGCCACAGATTAATTAATTAACTTCTCTTCTATATGTTTATCCCGCCGTATTCATGCGTGCACGCGCATGTTGAATTAGTATGCACTATATTTACGAGCAAAGGTGACAAGGACGAGACATTTCCTCCCTTTTTCCGATTAGGAAGGCAAACACAATGCGTGTCATCTCAAAAAAGGCCTGTTGATTGTCTCATTGTGTGCGCTGTTTTAACTTATAGAACCTCATAACCTTTAAGACTCCCACAAGGTATTAAAGGAAACGGTACTAAAAACTTTAAAATTGTATATTTATCTTGGAGAATTTCAGTTTCACAGTAAAGAAAACTTATAAAAAGGGCTCTTAAAATAACCAAATTTGTTTTGGCCAACAAACAAATAAAACTTGCTATTTATTCTCACTGTACATTACATACGACACGTACGCCTTAAATTGTGCCGTTTTTAACTCAACCCAAATCTGTAGTCAGTAATTACTATACTTATTGTGACAAATTAGAAATTTTAATTTGATACAATTGAACAAATTCTCTTAGTGGCTTTTTACGAATGTGCTGCTTGGCGCCTTTCTTTGTTAGATTATGTGGATCACGTGAGCGGCTCGAGGACAACCAATCACAATCAGTGATGTCAGAGGCTCTCGCGGAAATTAGAATCAACCTCGGCTGCTCTTTTTTATTACTGATATTTCAAACTTTTTAACAAGGATGTCCAGACAAGGAAAATTTATATTATCAGGAGATTATCGAAATTAGCGACCGAATGAATGAATTGCTGATATAAATAATGTGACCACCCCTTCATTTTGTCAGCTGGCCTGTTGGTCTAGGGGTATGATTCCTGCTTTGGGTGCAGGAGGTCCCGGGTTCAAATCCCGGACAGGCCCTGCTTTTTGCTCAACATCAATAAATAAAATAATTTTATATGGAAATCCAAAGAATGCTAACTATGGACGTGAAAATGCTTAAAAATTGATTTTTTAACTTATTTGGGTAAAAGTGATAACCAAAAAAATTAATATTTCGATCAAATTTCCGCAAATTTCGTTCAAAATTTTTAATTGTTTGCAAAAATTTTTTACTGAAAAAAAACCAATGAATAATCGAGAAAAATTTAATATAGCGATATTAAATCTCCCATTTAAAAAACTGAAACCTCAAAATCGTTGATTTTCGCGCGAAATCAAATTAAGAAAATCGTTGACAGCCTTCCGATGATGCCAACCAAACAAAACTATATGTCTACTAATAAATATAAAATTCGGAAGATTGAGATCTATTGAAGGAAATTCAGTAAATAAAATATAAATTTATGTTTAAAATAAATCTTTTAATCTCAGTTTCAATCAGTTCTACTTTAAAATATAACAAGCTTTAATTATTTGTTTTAAATTAGTTTGGTGTCACTGGTGAGTGCGGATTTCGCGACTCGCGGCAGGAAAAATGGCGTCGGACCCAAATGCCAAGCACCGCATGCAAACCTTCAAAAACAAAGGCAAAGATCAAGATGTAAGTGTGATTTTAGGGTTCGAATAGAAAGTCGAGGGTCGGGTTCAAGCGATGAGATCAAAGCTGGGCGGCGTCGCGCGTTCAGCGCCGTGCTACGCTGTGCCGAATTGGGCGCCGCGAACACGCTTTCGTCGCCCATCGACCGTTCGAGAGGCCTAGCAACCCTTGTGACTCTTGAATTCAACCCTGTAGGGTGGTTTTAGTAGTCAGGGATGCCCCCTTTCAATTGCTCGAGGCGAGGATTAGTTTGAAAAGTGGAATTCTCCAATGGTCCATCCGCGCCTCGGCTCGGATCGGGACTCGACTTATGAGTCACAAGTGCGCTGACATTTCAATTCAATGGCATGTTACATTTTTTTTCAGGAAATGCGACGTAGGAGAAATGAGGTGACGGTGGAGTTGCGCAAGAACAAAAGAGAGGAGACACTGCAGAAGAGGCGAAATGTCCCTCAAGTCGAGTCTGGTGGGTCATCGAGCAAATATTAAAAAATTTGAAATTCTTCCTTAAGAAATTTCGTCAGACTTTAAATTGCAAATTTGATTGATTTTTCCTTCATTTCCCGCAGACGAGGAAGAACCCAATGCAAATGGACTGGCAAACCTCGAAAGTCTGGTTCAGCAAGCAGCGAGCTCTGACCCGGCGGTGCAGCTGGCTGCTGTGCAGTCGGCGCGCAAGCTGCTCTCTTCAGATCGTAACCCACCCATTGACGCACTTATACAGTCAGGCATCCTACCCATTTTGGTGCACTGTCTGCAGAACACAGAAAACCCTTCCCTGCAATTCGAGGCGGCGTGGGCGCTGACCAACATCGCCTCAGGCACCTCCGCCCAGGTCTGTATTTCTGCCTGCAAATAATGAAACTAATCATTTTTACCAATTTCAAATCATTTAAAAAAATTTATAACATGAAATTTGAGGGAGGGAATTCAAAGAAATTCTTGTTTTCAAAGAAAGTGAAAAAACAAAAAAGAACAAGTTATTTTCAAAGATTCTGGCCAAGTAAACCATATTTTCTCGTTCAAATTCACAAGGAGGCGTCAAAAATTCATATTGGACACAATTAATTTTTCAATTTCATTTTTATTACAAAATTCATACACTCTTTAGGTACTATACACATACATTTCAAGGTTGAAATTATGAAAGCTAAAAATCAAATAACAAGTTTGCTGCGCAGACTTATATTGCTACTTTGGCATAAAAATGGCCAATCTTCTGAAAATCAAACATAATTTTACTATGGTTTATATTGAGAAGTAGTTGTTGGAAATAATAATTAAATTTTTGCTATATCATTGAGAAATAATTCATTTTTCCATGGAAGGAGTGACATATTGTTTGAAATTAGCTTTTGATGATAAAGTTGAATTAAAAGAAGAATTATTAATCTAACTCTTTTAAACCTTTTAAATTCAATGCAAAATTTTTAAAACATTGTTTATTGCTCTGATTCGCAGACACACGCTGTGGTAAATGCAGGCGCAGTGCCACTGTTCCTGCAGCTCCTGTGCTCGTCTCACCCGAACGTGTGCGAGCAGGCCGTGTGGGCTTTGGGCAACATCATCGGCGACGGCCCCCGCCTGCGTGACTTTGTGATCAGCCAGGGTGTGGTGGCGCCGCTGCTCAACTTCATCAAGCCCGAGATCCCACTCTCGTTCCTGCGCAACGTCACCTGGGTGCTGGTCAACTTGTGCCGCAACAAGGACCCGCCTCCCCCAGTGGCCACGATCCGCGAGATGCTGCCCGCCCTTGGCATGCTGATCCACCACTCAGACACATCCGTGCTCGTCGACACTGTCTGGGCGCTCAGCTACCTCACTGACGGTGGCAATGAGCAGATACAGATGGTCATTGACTCTGGCGTAGTGCCCAAGCTAATACCACTGCTCTCGCACAAGGAGGTCAAAGTGCAGACCGCCGCCCTTCGCGCAGTTGGCAACATCGTCACTGGCACCGATGATCAAACTCAGGTAACTCATTTTGTCAAACAATTTTGAAATATAAAATTTTTAAAAGGCATAAAAATAATGGCACATCAATTCCTACTAAATTCACAACTAAAATTATCATCTTTACTTTCATGTGTTCCGACTTAAGTTGTAGTAATTAAAATTTAATGTGTCGTTCTTTTCCTAAAAAAAATTTTTAATTTATATTTCTAAAAGAAACAGTTATAAATTTTAAATTATACAAAATAGCCAAAAAATACCCAATCATTTGAGTTGTAAAATAAGTTCAGATTCACTTTCTCTACAATTATTAAATTTTAGCCCTTTTTTGTCTTCAGGTGGTGCTGAACTGCGGAGCTCTGGGACACTTCCCTGCCCTGCTGCAGCACCAGAAAGAGAAGATCTGCAAGGAGGCCGTCTGGTTCCTCAGCAACATCACAGCCGGCAACCAACGACAAGTGCAGGCCGTCATTGACGCTCAGCTTGTACCACTCATCATCTCAAACTTGAGTCGTGGCGAGTTCCAGACCCAGAAGGAGGCTGCTTGGGCTATTTCCAACCTGACCATATCCGGCACCAAAGAACAGGTGGCAAGTTGATTTCACTGAGTTCTTATAAAATAAAATATAACAGTTTCACTATCATTTTTATTAAATTGGATTAATGTGGCTTTAGGTCGGAGTGCTCGTGAAGGAGGGTGTCATTCCGCCGCTGTGTGCACTGCTCAACTGCAAAGACTCGCAGGTGATCCAGGTGGTGCTCGACGGCATTCACAACATGCTCAAGATGGCCACCGAACCGGGCGCAGTGGACGCGCTGGCCAGCTTGATTGAGGAGTGCGGTGGTCTCGACAAGATCGAGGCCCTGCAGAACCACGAGAACCCTGAGATCTACAAACTGACCTACGAGATCATCGAGCAATACTTCAATGACGAGGTCAATTTCTATTATAAAATATGTTTGTCTATTGTATTTCCATTGATATTATTTTGACATTATTAATTTAAAGATAATAACAAGACTTCTTTGTTAACTTTTTTACCAATAAAAAGTTAATGTCAATTTTTTTATACTAACAATTTTATTTAAACTTTGCAGGGAGAGGAGGATGCTAATTTGGCACCACAGACGGGTGACGCTGGCTTCCACTTTGAGGCCAACTCAAGCGTGCCGAACGAGGGCTTCAAGTTTTGATGCAGCCTGCCGTGGCTCGCGTGAGAGATTCCACACGATTCCACCAGATGAACAGCAGAGCCCCAGATTGATTTGCAAGAAAGACGGTGAATATTAGAGAGGGAGAACCTGACGATGAGAGTAAATGCTGCGCTCTATAGTTTAAACACACACACTACTGCTTCTTGTTAGTTCGTTCGCGTTTATCAATTAATTGTCAGTAAGTACGTCTCTTTATTTTTTTCTTTTAAGTTACACTCGGAAGCATAAACAAAATATAAAACCAACAAACAGACATGCAGAACAGCTTTGTATTTGTAAGTAATAAAAATCATGTGAATGGACTCAGCCTTCATCAAATAAAATTAATTATTTATTAATTTACAACACTGAAGTTTACCTTAACTGCATAAAAAATTATTTCATAAAAGAACATCAATTTCGATAATGAAATTGTGAGAAGAAATCTGGGATAAAGAACTTACAAGAAAACAGGAATAAAATAAATTCCTTCAAATTAAATTAAGTCTGCAATGTAAACGAAGTAACAGTTGCTATGATAAGAACACGAATTCCTTGGCTTTTCAAGTTTTTCAAGTAAAAATAAAAAAAATTAATGATGCATTGAAAAGTAAAAGAAAAGCAGGGATAGTAATAAGGAAAAAGAAAACCCATAAGTTTACGTGGAACTTCAAGTTTTTCACATCCAGAATCCAATATTTCGCAAGATTTGGCCACACATCATAATTTTTGTAATTTTACGATTTGTTTTGCGGTCAAACATGTCCAGCTTTACGGTCTGCTTTGGTCACCCTCGACCTCGCTGACCCGGCGCAGATGCGTCTGAATGTGGCCGAATGCATCCCCGGAGACCCGCATACAAACTGACCAACGCCTCCCTCTGATAATTGTTGCCTTTGTCTCGTTGGAAGCGGTCAGAAGTGCGTCGTTTGTCGTTTGATCGCTTCTTTTGTTCTTTCCCCCACTTGCGGCAGTCAAGTGCCACGGAAGAGAATAACATTGAATAATTTTATCGTTTGCTTTTAAAGTGACAAAATTGAATGAATTGAAAGGAACTGCAAAAATTTTAATAATAAATCCTGGATTTTGCCTAATTTTTTTCATTATTACAATCGAATTAGTTCAATTTTTATCATTTTCATATAAGAAAAACTTGAGAATTTAGGATTTCATAGTTTTAATTTATAAAATAAATTTGTTTCAATTTAAATGAAATATTTTAAATTGGATATGCAATACAGTTTATTTATTTTTTTTTTATTCTCGCGTTTGAAAAATTATTTTCCTTCTATGTCTCCCTATATAAAAATCTGCATAAGCACATGAATATGGCATCAGTAAATAATTCCCACTTATCGGCCTTTTTGTATCTTTCACTTATTCATCCAATTATCGACATCTGCGTTTTATGCAACCAACAATAAAATATTAAAAGGGTGGTTTTGTGTCGAAAAAGGGTTTCGTTGTGAGTAAATATTTGGCTCCCGCGAGACAACCCTTCTTTTTATTTTGATCCCTTTTTTATTCACTCTGCCGCTTTTTGCAGCCGATCGTCGATTTTTCACTGGCCAATTTGAATCGATCAGACCGCAAAGGGGTGATCGAGACGGACCAGGGAAAGGGGTGCCAAATGAAGCGCGTCCGACGATCGTAAAATGCAACCGGCGGCGAGAGATGCAAATAAAGGCCACCTGCCAGAAAAAATGACTTTCGGCGGCATGCACATCACAGATGGCCATTCTATATTTTTGCATCTCGAGTGCGTCCAAATCCACTTGAAAAGAAAAACGAAAATATGAAAAAGCAAGTGGCTGACCAGACAAGATAAATAATAAAATAAAAATAATTAAACATATATAAATCCCTTCGGAATTGTTTTTTAATTGCTAGTCTGTACGCCTGCAGAAGTTGAGAGCTATGCAACTGGCACGACTTTGGCGACAAAATAAAAAAAAAGCGATTCGACTCGCTGAAAATGAATTTATTCATTTCTCTTTTATAAACACAATCGTAGATAAATTAGCGACGACAGCTGTCAGTCACTTTATAAAAAGTTGTTTCCATTTCAACAGTGGGAGAAACACAGAATTGATTGCGGTCACGCCCGTCTCGCCGATTAGATTCAAATGAAAAATTAGCCCTCCAAGTCTCGCCAGAGCAACTTTTTTTATTCCAAATTTACTCTTATCGCCGGACGTGGATATAAAGTCATTAAGAATGTATCTTTTAACGCAGATGGCACACGCTTTTTGCATTTACAAGAGCAAAATTCACGCCTCATAAAAATTAACGACCGTGTTTTCATTTTTTTTTCTCACTAAAAATCAAATTTTTATTACATTTATCTGTTTGCGTAAAAAAGCTTTTTGTGGAAAAAGGGCCGCGGTGTGTAAATTTATTTAGCAGCGGCAGATGGGTGGGATTTGGGGGCGAGTGGGGGTGCGACCGCGTGCGGACACGCGTTCCCACGCGACCCGCACGCGCCGAGAGAGATATTGAAAAAGATCATCTCGCGCAGAAACCTACACCTGTCGCTCCTCTCACTTTGAATATTGTTTGCAAAAAAACTTTAAAGCTTTTAATCAAGACAGATAAATGTTAGTTTTTATCTCTAAAATCTAAAATATAATTTATTTATATATAATTTACATAAATAATAACTCTCGGTAACTTTCAATTTTTAATCTTATAACATTATGCTATATATTTTTGTATCCCTGCAAGTTTTCTTTGATCCTCGTCGGTTTCTTGTTTTTTATAAAAAGCTTTAAAATAAAAAGAAATAAAGGAAGTGCTGAAAATTTAGAATCATTTTTCTAAATTTTCTGATTCTAAATTTTCAGTTGCGTGACAATGCATTGCTTGTTGGCGAATATGGCGGAAATTGCTCGGTCAGTAATCTGGGGATTGATATTCAGGCAGGAAAACTAATATCAAACGGAACGGATGTATTCAATTTTGGCTAGTGAGATTACATTTGTATTGAGCTCATATTTTTTAGCAGGGGGTGTAAATCGAGACATATAAAAGTGATGCAATTTGTTTTCTGGAGTCATTCTCAAATTGTCACATATTGAGGCAAGATGAGCAAATTTGACAACAAAAAGCAGGCGATCTGGTTGTTGCTGGGCTTTGCCGCCGTCTTCAACTGGGTCATCGCAGATGGCCAGAGTATCGAGTACACTATCAAGGTAAGATTTGTGCGAGAGAAGTAAATAATATTAAAAATTTTCGTTTTTTAATTTAATATGTCAATCAATGAAAGTTAAAATCCCCAAAGAAATGTAGACGGTCCAAATTTTGCTATAAATTAATAAACGATATCATTTTTTGAATAGAATGAATTGGAAATATATATAGAATGCAATATTATATTATCATGCTAGAAAACTTGTCGCCATATTTTAACAATTTTTTCAATAATCAAATAATTATTTGCAAATCTGAAACTATTGGTATCAGTGCACTAACGGCGTTTTAATTTTTTTTCATAAAAACAAGAATCAATTTAAACTAGTTTTTCCTTTTTGAAAGTATGCTAGTGATCGGGCGGCGCTGCAACAGATCGCAGATGAGATGAAGGAATTGATCCAAATATCCGACCAGCGCCGCGAGCAAGAGGTGTGCGAGTTTTTTCTCTCCAATAATTGAAACAAGACCATTGAATTGGTTTCTTTTAAATGCAGGCTAAGGAAAACTCAAGACTGCGCAGCACCGACGGCCGCGCGCAGGTTGCTAATTTACTAAAAATATAACCGTCAATCATTTCCTAAAAAATGAGATTTGAATTAAAAGGCAATCGAATTTGAGGGACTTGGAGGAGTGTCGCAGATACAGGTGACCAGGATGATGTGGCAGGTGGTCAACGCAACCTGGCAGAGACAGGAGCAGTTGGAGAAACGACTGCAAAAGGTCATTTAAACTGTTCCTATTGCTTTGTTTTGCAGAGTATGAAAAAATTATCTTTTAGGTTTTGACTTGGGGGAAAAAGTTACTGGACGAGTCAGGGCAGGACTATAGCAGATTTCCAGCATATTCTTAACTTTTTGCCTGAATGACTTAATTAATTGAATGATGTACATATTTTTTTATTGTGTGTTCTATGTACATATTTTTTAATAATCTTTATTTAATTCAGTAATTGATAAAATAGTTTTGGGATAAATAGGATGTATTTTAAATTATTTTAGACTCAAAATATTTTCAGCCCAACGAAAGTTTTAAAAGTTCTAGTTCGCGGACGGTTTCCATAATTGTCCTATATTCCTCATGTGAATGGTTTTTGTTCATTTTTTACTCAGCTTTGGCCTTCTAGTCGGTAATTTTTTTGTGGCCTTGAACCTTGAACCTTGAAGAGCTATTTTGATTTTATAATACATATTGTATATATTAAACTAGCATTTTTTTATATATAATTAAAGGACACGGAAAGGGAATTAAAATGTTCCAGTGATATCAAAACGTTGCAACAGCAAGTTTTTAATTTGACCAACAGGACTGAAGAATTGGAATTGCAAAATCAAGAGGTAAAAACGGCCAAAATATTAATTTATAGTATTATTATTAGTGCGGAAACAGTTGTTCTAATATTTGCAAACTACTTAATGTATTAAATTTTACTGATAAATTTGCTTATTTTAGATGAAAATTGTGTTTATTGATCTATCACATCACAAAGGCAATTGCTGCCCATAACGGGATATATCATTTATGCATTCAAAATTATACAAATTTAATATTTTAAATTAGATTTAAATCGTAACGTTTGAATGAATTAATATTATTTTTATCTAATTTACTTTTCTTTAAAAATTTAAGGATTTGGAAAGGGACGAAAAGTGTTCCAGCGAGATTGGAGCGTTGCAACAACAAGTTTCGACATTGATCAAAGAGCACGAAGAATTTAAACTGAGGAATCAAGAAGTAAGAATATGATATATTATGCACTATTTTTTAATGAATCGTCAAATAAGTTCAAATATCAGTGAACCACTTTTTACCAATAATTGGATTCCCATACAACCATATTAGTGAATTTATGCAGCTTTCTTTGTAAAATAAAAATACATAAAACTTTTTTTATTGAAATTATTGGGGGGGGGGGGGGGATATTATATTCAGCAATCTTCAAGGGATAACCATATTAAAAGTAATACTGGGAGGACTACTGAATGGAATATCGCCCTTTATTATTTAGAGAGAGAATTTTCTTTTTAAATAATCCTGATGAAAATATATTTTCAGTAAGTTTATTGCAGATCTAATTTAATTATATAATGATTGAGTTGCAGCAGGAGAATTTACACGAGACAAATCAAAGGCTGTTAGAATTGCCTAAAACCACTGAACAGGTTGGAAACTATCAATATGCAGATTGATAATAATACGATATATATCCAATTTAGGAAACACAAAATGATACCAGCGTCAACTGCACCTTGGCGCGTAATTAATTTATAAATTTGCATAAATTATGACCTTTTTATGATAATTCCTACAGCCAGAAGTTTATAATTAATTTTTGCAGGTTCAACGAAGCTTAAGACGATTTCAAACGGGAAAAAATACTTCTTTTCTAATCCATCTGCAGTATGTGGTTTTACCTTCCAATTATTATTTTTATTTATATCCAGAAATAGACCGTCTGGACCGATGCAAACGATTGGTGCGAAAACAGGGGTCTTCACCTAGCCACCTTGAAAAACCAAACTGATTTAGACGCGGTGCACCAGAGAGCAAAGAATATTTCATGTAATTCTATTAAGATGAGGCACACCGATTTTGATGAAAGTTGGTATGCAACTTGCACTTACCCTTGGGTGTTCTGGAATGGCTATAAAAAGTTGCCCAATTTCACAGGAGTTGGTAGTTTCCATTTAAACTCACGTTAAAAATGATCAAATGTAGGCAACAAAAGAGTCCGCTGTGTATATATGTTGCCTACTTCCGATTTCTCCAATAATGTAATTCAAATTACATGGAGTTTAAATGGAAAAAATTAAACAAGGAAAATTGGGCAAAACGTCATGGCCGTTCTGGGGTACCAATGGGTAGTAGAAGTTTTAAACCGATTTTCATCAAAATCGGGGTGTCTCGGGGTGTCTCATCTCAAAACCACTACTTGTTTAGTATTCGGAGAGTTGAATTAAAAGGTGTTTTTAATTTTTATTCAAGCTTTATTCTCATGGTGGGTGTCAGCGAGAAACGAGGGGTCTGATGATGAACCAGACTACCGCTGGCGTGACGGCTCAAAGGTGGAGGACGATTTGTTGGCATTAAACAGCAACAAGACTTCAGGCTGCTTCGGAATAAATACTAAGCATAATAGAAGCCTGTACCCAGTGGATTGTAATGTCAACTTGTATTTTATCTGCGAATTGCCGATTGAATGTTACTAACTAACCACTAGCTGAAGTGGCTGAACTCGGCAATAGCTGTTTTCGCACAATTATGTTTACTTTCATTTAACAACATTTGCCATGTCACACTGTATTTACTTCTTAATAGCGTGAATAATATTTTATTTTTCCTTAATAATAAACACAAATATAATAAATTTAATTTTGCAATCGCCCTTGTTTAATTCGATCGAAAAGCACATGTTACAAAAATGCGTAAATTAATAGCATTTTCTTACTTCAATTAAAATTCATATTGTCTTTAATTGTATATTGGATGGAGTGGAGTCTACGATATAAAAATAAACGTTTTTGATTTTAAATTATTTCAATTTAGTTTGATTACATAATCTTTATAAATACGGAACTAAAAAGTATGTGTGTGCGTTATATTATTATTATTATAAAAGTACACATTTATACAATATTTTAACTTTTATTGTAAATTTTCAGCCATTGAATATTTTATTTGGTTTGATAATGATATTTATTGACTCAATGAGTATTTTGACGTGCACAAGTGTGAAAAATAATTGTACAGAAATCGCATTTTCTTCATTATTGCTTATTAAAAAAATGAATTCGAATTTCACTCTACCGGGGGAGAGAAGTTTTATTCACTAATCAAAATCTCATTTATGCTGATTAACCTTAAGCTAAAGGAGCAAGAATTAAATTATGGCGTATAATCAAAAAATATCATTGAGATCAATCATCAAAATTTAATTTAATTTGAGCTATATTATTGGCAGTGATGTTGTTTTAAATTAGTAAATGAAAAATGTTAAAAAATTATATTATGAAAGGCGCTGCTTTTTTGTTGAAATTTCTGTAAAATAATTTTGTGTAAATATATTTATACTTTTGGTGTATGATAAATGAAACATTTTTATTACAATAACCTAATTATCTCTATTAACTACGATCATCCTTTTTCATATCATCAGTCGTATTTGAAGCCACGTGTCAGACCCTCAATCATATAAAAAAAAACATTGCGCGCATCAAAGTCTCTGTTCTATGACGTGCGAAACGAGAGAGCACAATTGAATCAAAGAACTATAAAACAAATTATGCCACTGACATGACACAGAGTTAAAAGCGTGGGAGCCAATTCAATTGATCACCCCTATCAAACCCCTATTACCCCTCCATCCCCGGCTGCTCGCACCGAGTCGCTGAGGGTGCCTCTTGTTGGAAGGGGTGGAATCAATGTCAGTGCACCTCGTGCGATCAAAGAGGAAAGACGTGAATTCGAAAAGCTCGTAAAGTGAAAATCATGGAACACAACAGCGACTTGCACACCGGCGCCTCTGTCTCAACTATACGAAAGTGGATTTTGGTAAGAATGAATAATAAATTCCAATTAGAATTAATTTTTTTTAACTATTAAATATCTGACCTAATTTAAAGGATATCTTTTGACTTTCATAAATATTTATATAAATTTAACTCAAAATTAATAGTTTATTTTGGCCTTTTTGCAGACTTTCCTGCGACGTCTCCGCGTCAGAAACACCGATCCACTGGAAGAGGCCATTTGGGCTGAGTTGGTTCTTCGGGAGGGACGGAGGCCGATGGCCACTTCAAACAGGGTGGCGGCCACTGCGAGTTGCGCCACACTCGTCTCTTGGCTGGAGCAGGACGACAACTTGCTGAACGAGCGCATCGAGATGAAAATGGCAACAGTACTCTGAATTGTATAATTTTTTTTCGCAAATTGCTCGCCTTCTCCTTTTAAAAGAAAAATGCTGTGATTCTTCGAAAATACTCCAAACCTACTATTCGTCGATACGAGTCTTATAAAACACCATAATTTGTGAAATTTATATATTATATTATGAAAAATTGTACAAATCCCAAAATTATTTATAAAATTATAGAAGTGATAATTTTAAATAAAAAACCGAAATAATTATATGAATATCTGTTTTTATAATTCAACACCTTAATAACAAAATAATTAATTAAATTTCGAACAAAGAACAGATTATGTGGAAAAACATCCCACGGCCGTGAATGAATGGAGGTGCTCGATGATCACACAGGGGTGGTGTTTTCCGTCAAAGAGCAAACAGGGGAGGGAGGGGTCTGTCTATCTCGATTGCTGGTTATTTTATTGCGCGCTGTTCTCTCTGCTCTGCTCTGCACACAGGAGGACAAAAGGGGTTGCTTAATGCGTGCGGAGTAGTGTGGCCGTGGGAAAGCGGTCGTCGGCAAACTCTCACCCGCCGCGCGAGCAGCGCAATAGACTATTATTGCATACGTGCAACACCCCCGCACCCTGTTCCCACCCCCTGCTAATTGACCTGTTAATCCGACACAATAAAATATAGAATTGACCAAAAATAGATTTTTAATAATAATTTATTCCCCAAATTTCTCTATTTGAGCAATATTGAAAATTTTAAATCAATGCAATAATAACTATAGGTTGTATGGTGTATATGATTTAATAGCGTTCTTATTTAATGTTGTATTATTTTACTATAAAAAAAACTAGCGATAATGGTGATAAATCGTATTTTATGATAATTAACATGAGGCTGGCGGATCCTCGATTCTGAAAAAAAACTTCAGTCACCGCCCGAGCTATATGCGCACTTTATGGGAGAAGTAAGCGATGTTTGCCGCCACTATATTTCTCACCCTGCCAGTATTTTAGTGATTCTCGCCTTTTGTGTCCACTTATTAAATTTAATGCTATAAATTTTTTTTTAAATTTATAATATTTTTCAATTTCTTTAGCACACGCGTTGAAATCCCTATGGAATCCCCACGTTGTCAAAGAGTACATTTGTCGCGACGTGTGTTCTAATTTGATTGATTGATCGGCGGCAACTGGATTTTGATTCAATTTCGCGATTGTGCCGCGTCAGCGCACTGTCGATTTACTATAAGCAATTCTTTAGTCTGATTCTGATTGCCATATGATTGATTTGAAAAAGTTTCGAAATAAATTCGATTAATGAAGTGGTACGAAAATACATCGTCACACTCCAACTCTCTGAGCAACACTTGGTATACTCATTCCGCTTTAATTTGCAACCATTGTTTCCTTTTTAGCAGCAGGGGTCGTGGAGTTTCAAAGTTTAATCTGCAAGGCTTGTTTCAGAATGTTCTCTTTTCACTGCAATAACCAGTTTTTGTGTTGTGCAAACTTTTTCCGTTGGCTGTTGGCTTTCAACTCAAAAGATAACAAAAGAGGCAGATTCGTCGTTAAAAAAAATCGTAAATCTCTCGAAATCTGTATTCAAATTTTCTTCCCTACTGACCAACTATACAATAGACCGTAGGGGAAATTTCTTAAAAAATATATATTAGTAATAATGATGAATAACCGTTTTTTTTGCTGTACTTTTAGTCATATTTCTAAAAATATTGAAACTATTTAAATATAACTCAAAATATCTCCAAAATAGTGAATAAATTTTGATGTTTCTGCAGTAAAAATAATACTTGTAGAATTTAAGTATGAATTTAAAGCTATGCAAGATCTTGACACGCGCGTCCAGCAGGTTGCCTATTTTCAAACAAAATAACGTAAAAAAAGCTACTGAAATTGATTATGTTTTTTTATCAGCGATATTTTTTTATCTTCAGTGCATCTAATTTATTATTATTTAGGGTTTTTTACAACATATTCTAATTGGGGTAAGAGAGTTTAAGAAAATACGTGTAAAAAAATTAATTTTCATATAGTTTTATTTCCCAATTTACTCAGGCATTTCTTACATGCTACATCCTCATAGATAGTAAAATTATTATGTACAATTTCGGCGCTTTTCTGCACCTTACAAGCCTCGATTATTAATTTTAATCACTAATGACAACACAATTATTAAAAAAGTGTAGAATACATTTTTCCTACCAATGGCACTTTGTGTGTGTGTGTTCAAAATTAATTAATTAATAATAGTCCACATTTGCATCAAAAAAGGCACGAGATAGAAACTCGCCGGGAAGGTGGAGAGGCGCTGACTAGAGAAAGGAACGCTCGTCTGGCAACAACAAGAGGCACCGTTTGTGACTTTTACAAAAATTTCAATGACTGGTCAATACGCGAGTTCTGCTCCCCAAGGCCTGTAAGGTTTAGCCGACGGGGGTGGAGGACCTTGCGAAGGGTGGTAGGATTGCGGGGCGTTGCCTGGTGGCGGCTGCGACATCGGCGGTGGCTGGTAAAAGTGCTCGGGGCCCCCAGGGGGTGCGTAGAGGGGCTCGGGGGGCGCGAAGGCCGACGGGGTGCCGGGCCAAACGGCGGCCGCCTGTTTTGAGGCCATCTCGCGTTGCGCCGCAAAACATTGCAGGTGCGAGAGGAGACGCAGTCGCAGGGGGTCTTCCAGGGCCATTCCTTCGACGCTGACCAGATAACGAGCCACCTCGGCGGCGCACTCGCGAAAACCGAGACCGCGGTAGTCCATTGACACGCGTTCCTCGCCAACTCCACTGCCACCTAAAAACATAAAAGAGAGAAAAAAGTTAGACCAAATTAAAAAATTGAAATTATAATTGAATTCATTGAATTAATTTTATAAAAATATTAATCATCATCAAATATTAATCAATATTCTTTTTTACAAGAAATAAAATATTTCATTTCAATTTTTAAATTATATATGATTAGAAAAAAATTTATTGTAAACTTTTATTTAATAAAATGACAGAAAGCACTTCTAAAAACATGATAAATGTAAAAAAATGCCCTCTTTTTAACTCATTCAGAGAGTTTGAATGAAACTTTTTACGCCAAAACAGGTAGAATATCAACAAAAAGACTCAAAGACACGCGTACAATTTCCAAAACACGGGAAGTTCAATGAATGAAGCAGCCACCAATTTTTTTGTCACCGATTTTCAACATGAATGACTGCTTTTTGTAATAAATGATGTTGTGTGTGTGAGAGCGAGTATAAAAAAAGGTGCGTGCGTGATCGCCTTTTAATCAAGGGGATCAGCTGAGCATAGGGAAGAGAACAGCTAGGGCAAGGGGAGGCTGAGACTCGCGCGGTCACCGTGGGAGAATCGCAGCCACAGCTGCCGCGCCGACTTCGCAACCCTTTCCCTCTTACGAGTTTTTTGTTATCTCTGATCAAATCATGGAAGGAAATGGGCAAGTGGCTCAATTAAGTTTTTCTACTGCTTTTTGTGAATGAGTTTTTTAGTGTAATTTTAAAAAACCAGTTTGAAAAAACCAGAATTAAGAAATAAAGGATCAAGTCAAATCAATTTCAATGAAATTTCAAAAGTTAAACTTTATTAAAAAATAAAATATAATAAATAAAAATTTAACGCTAATTTTTTTAATACTGACCTTTGGCGTGGACGTTCTTGAGGTGTTCAACTGTGAGTTGAAGAATTTCAGCCTTTTCCAATTTAGCAGAGCCCTGCTTTTCGAAGGCAGAGGGCACGAGGCGGCGCAGCTCAGCCAAAGAATTGTTGATGCGGTCACGGCGCCGCTTTTCGATGACGCCGCGCCGCCGTTTGCGAGTCATCGTCTCGCAGGAACTGGAGCCGCTGCTGCCCTCGGTCGGTGACTGGCACCTGATTAGAAGAACAAAAAAATCACCAAATCAGTCCGTGAGAAAAAGCGAGCAAAAATATAATATATTATAATAATATAGGAGGGACCGTGGGAGCCTTTCGATGAAAATAAGCAATGAGCGGCGGGGGAGGGAAAGTGAAACAATATTGTAATGGAGATAGGGGGTGGCTGATTCAACGAGATGAGCTCTGATAAAGGGGTTCGGGCAGGTCAGTGTAACTTGGTATTAAAAGTGAAAAGGGAAGGGATCTGCACCGACCAGCAATCTATCAAGTGGATTTAATTAAGCATCAACAAGTTGAAGAGACCCTTTAAAAATAGAAAAATAGTTTTTATTCTTTTTCCCTTTAATCTTAATATTTCGCTATGTACCTTAATTTCTATTGGAATAAGGAAAGTAAATATTAAACAAGAACAAAATTTATAAAAAAAAAAAAAATACTTGTTTTACGTAATAAAATAATACTGCATTACACAAATTAATAAAGAAAAGACGAACTAAAAAAATTGTAATTTTTAATACAAAACTATTGAAAAAAAACTTATTGTTAGATGTTCTAAAAAATGGTAAGCTTTTTTTTCTTCAAAATTACTATCAATAAGCTATTGTTAACAAAATAATTAAATAATACAATTAATTTGAAGAAAATAAATATTTTGATGAGAATTTGAGGGATTTTAATGACTGCAAAGTGAGGGATAAACTAATTTGAGAGAAAAGGCGGAAATTTGAAACAAAAATCATGCTACAGGTCTCAATTATTATGATATTTTTTAGGTTCATAGTGTAATTTGAAATTTTGTATTCACAGAAAATTCATTTGAAATAAAAATATGAAGAGACAAACATCCGAACAAGAGAATAAAATCAAATACAAACAAAAAATGTATAAAAATAAGTTAAATGCTCTGCTCAGAAGATTGATATTAAAATTTTTGAAAAATTTTAAGCGTGGCCAAAATATATACTAAGAAAAAAATTAATAAATTGGCAAGCAAAAATCTAGTAATTGGCAATGGATGATTAATTTTTTTTAGTAGAGAAGGGTGCGGAGTCCATAATATATTAAAAAGGATTAAAAAAAAATTTGGAATAGGAAATTTTACTCACAAGTCCTTGGAGTCGTTCTCCGAGAAAAGATCGTCGTCGCAGTCGCTGTCGCCAAGAGATCTGGCCGACGTCTGCGTCTGGTGGTGCTGTTGCTGCTGCTGTTGGTGGTGGTGGTGGGTGTGCGGAGGCGGCTGCCACGGATGCAGGTAGTTGGCCGGCGCCGCGGCCGGAGGCGGCGGCGGCGGCTGCTGGCTCTGGTAGAGCGACTGCTCGTTGCTGCTGATGACCACGCGCCACATCTTGATCGGCCGACGGCTGCACGTGCACTGAGCGCCGCTCGGCCGCCGTTCGGCCGCGTGCACGACACGCAAGGCCCACCCCTCAACCCCCGCCGGAGCGAACAACCACCCCCTGCGAGTGCAGAACACGAGAATCGCGCTTTCCCACGGCGAAAGTCCCCACTCTCCTCTTCTTGGACGGACACTTATTGTTATAATCGAGAGCCAACTTTTATGTTATCTTGTTTGAAATAAATGCAATTTCATTTGCACTCTGATTGCGACTGCGATGCAATTAGAGTGTAAATTCATATTTGAGGCGGGGTGTGTTAATTAACGCAGCTCAATGGAGGTCGTTAATCATGGAATGCAACACTGAAGAAAATTAATTTCAATTAAATTTGGGGCACAGTTCTCTGAACGTAATTTTATTTATTACACACAAAAACAAAATAAATGATGAAAAACATAAAACATTGAAAATAAACTGCAATTCGCTGCAATTAATAAAAATGTTTTGGGTTTGTTTCTATGATTAACAGTTTTTTCATCAATATAATTATTTATGACAATTATAACATTTAAATGTTATATTTAATTTACTATACATAATTATTGCACTCAAATAACTTTTGAAAGCAAGCAAGTTTTGGCAAGTTTGAAAGAGTTTTTTAGAATTTCTTTTTTAATGCCTATTTGATATTGAAGAAAATAAAATGATTCTAGCTAACAAGTACTTAAATTTAATCCGATTTAATCAATAATAAAAATTAAAGTTTAAGTAAATAACTATTAAAGGGAAATTTGATCCGCTCCTTTTCATAAAAAATCTATTTTGTAGTTTTGAGGTGGTAAACCATAAAATTAGTTTCCTTCAACACCCTTTTTCATTGACGCCACTTTTCCATTCATCTCTTGGCGCGTGTCTGTCGTACTTTCGGGGAGAAAACCCTCTTTTTCATCCCATCGTCGCGTGCCACCCATTTATGCACTCTCGATTTCACCGATTTATCGGAAAAACTGTTCCTCTTATATGAAACGCCGTTTTTCTCTAAAAATCACAACATCCGCGGCGCTCGGCAGGGGCTGAGGTGGAGTAAAAAACGTTCGAGGGGTGCGACTTGAACCCCTTTCACTGATGCCGCCGCTCAAGGTGTTTTTCTCGAAGGGGTGAAAAAGTAGCGAAAAGGGGTCGTCTTTTACTTCAGGCATTGTCTCGCAGCTGACCGAGGGGTGAAAAAGGATTGATGCAACAATTGTGATAAAGGAGATGGTGAATTATGTATTATTGCTGAAGGGGGTAGGAATTAAAAGAGTGCAAGGGGATGCGCGCAGTTCGATATTTTTTCTGTGACGCTCTGGATATCAAATAATGATGGGAACAAAAAAATAACAAGAAAAGGAAGTCTTCAGCTATTCTTTTTTTTTTTTTTTTTTTTTTTTTTGACAGACACACTGCTTTGGGAATGTATTATCCAGGAGTTATTGCAAATTTTTATTAGAAATGCTAGAACAGTTGTCACATTTTGTATCTTTCGTATCTTTTATATTCCTTTGATTTATTAAATTCTGGAAGTTATTGATTTGACACGATTTTAGCAAACAAAGATTTAAAATTCTTTAATTAACTTCAAATTAAAAAGAATTAAATATTATTAAAAAAAAATCCTCTTCTCTCGTTTTTAATAGTTGTGAGTTTTCTACTATCGGAAATTATGAAGAAGAAAAAAATCCTTTTTTGTATCAATCATAACTTCTTTTTTATTTTATATGGCCATACGGTGCGGAGAAAACCACCAAGCTTCTTTTATCATGCTGATATATAAGGTATTAGACAGACTTCAGCGAAATCAAAATTGAATCAATTTAAATTCAACCTGCGCAAAATTGTGGAAGCAGACAGGGAGCCATCTGGTGTCGGAAGTCACTGTGGTGGCTGCTGGCTTTCCGAGTCGGGGGGTTGCTCGGAGTCACGAGGGTGGCGCTGCAGGGAGCGAACGAACTCTTCGAGGTCGCCCTGGTTGGCGGCCCGGACAGCGTCGGCGCCAACCTCAAACTGCTGCACCACTGGGCCTAACTGGCCTGACTGCAGAGCGGCACTGAACATGCTCACAGCCTGAGGAAAAAAATAAAAAAGTGAGATAAAATTTTGAGCAATTGTGCACTAAAAAATATTCAGTTTCAAATTGATCCTCCGACTTTTGACAGGATAAAAATCATAATAATTCTTTTTCAAAACCGCAATTTGCGAACTTAAATTTGTGTATGGATGAATTAACAGAGAAGAAATATATTGTGTGGAACGTACGGACTGAGAATTGCTACAAAACGTTTCTTGAAATCGTGCAGATGATGTATTAATTTCTTGAAAATTAGTTCCACAAAAAATTTAATGAAAATTAGGAAAAGTCGGAGAAGAAACTGAAATTGGTTACGTCAAATGTTCTCGTTTCAAGCAATCCATTATCTCTATGGATAACTTATTTCATTTGCAAAACAAGCTAGGAAAAGTTTTATTTTAAATTTGTTATGTTATCGATTCATCATTTCAATTTATTTAAACAGACTGATACAAATATCACAACTTGTTTTGTTTTATCTATACCACATGAATGGTACTTTTAAAAGGTTTTGGTTTTATAATTCACAGCTCAGTTTAATAAATTATCTAACCTGCTGGAATTGGGGCGACTGCAGGGTCGTCCTGAGCTGCTCGGCCTCTGAAGTTGAATCCGTCAGTGGAGGCAAGTGACGTTGCAGCTGCCTCACAGTTGTCGGGTCGGCCAGCATTGCTTGCAGATTCTCCACAGTCAGAGAACTTGACAAATCAACTAAAAATTTACCTCCGTCAATGAAATCCCAAATAATAAGTAAAAATTTAACAAACCGTTCCCCTCGGCTGGCTGTTCAGGAGCAGCTTTAGGCTCTGAAGAGCTTGCCTTCTCAGCACTAGGCTTAGACGAGGCAGACGAACGGGTTGGCGTCCTGGAGCTTATAGCAGTACCTCCAGAAGAGGGACTTCCGGAGGGACCCAAGAGGCTACTCAGATTGCCGATCTGGCCGACGTTGCCAAAGAACTGCATCAGCTGCTGCTGGCTCATGGTATTCAACAGACTCTGGAGGTCACTATCTGAGCACAGAAAATTTACCTCAGTAAATATTTATTTGTATTTTCAAATTTGAATGATTTATCAACTAAAATAATATAAAAAAGTGTACAACCACCTGGTGTAGCGCCACCGCTTCGAGAGGAGCCTGGCGTGGGCGGATTGTTGAGAAGTTCATTGACCTTCTTGCACAAGTCGTCGTCCTTGTCGATCTTCGTCTCCTGCATCCAGAAAAAGAAGAGACGGTGCGACGACTTGAACTTGAGGACGTACACCCGCCCCGTGGTACATTGAGGCACTCGCTTGTACTCGCAGTCATCCGGGAAGATGATCAAGTCCTGTTAAGAATTATAAAAAACGATAAATGGCAAGAATTTTTTAAATTTTTCTACAACGCACATCTTCGACGCTTGAAGAGTGGCGCTCCTTCCAGCAGAGGTGCATCAACGAGTCTTCGGCCTGGTACACGTAGAGCAGGCCCTTGCGCTTGTCCGGATGCACCATTTTGCCCTTCTGAGTCATCTTGCCTGCGCGGAACTCGACCAGGTGCTTGTTGGCACCTCTGGCACCACCGCCGCTGCAGAATAGGGCACCGCGAGAGCTCATTTTGCCCAAAAAACGATGCCGAAAGCCGAATTTGAGAGAAAGTTTTTCGCTGGTTGTTTTCTGTCGGCCTAATTGTGTCAACCGGTTAAGGTAAAATGAAATAACCGGTTAAACTGCTAAAAATTTATCATTATTTAGATTACGAAACAAAATAATCGGTCCATATTTCGGAAGGAATACCGGTTTTCATAAATTTACTGGAATGATTCGTGTTTTCTTGTTAGAGCTTGGGAAAACAGCCACGGGAGTCGCCTGAGGGTGGGATGTGGGATGAAAAATTTTGAGGGACCCGTGGAGCCACACGTTCCGATCCACCTCACTTGGGAATACGCGATTTTCTGATTTGACGATTCTCTTGCAATGCAAAGAATTCTAATGTAAAGTCCTTGTATATTTTGAATTGTTGCAATAATGATTTTAGAAATTTTTGGAATGACATCATGACATGCTGAAGTGAACATAAAAGAGAAAATTAAATTCCTAATAATTTATAATTATGAAACATTAATAGATCACATTGGTGAAACGAGAAGGCAGTAAAATGGGATGTATAACAATGGAATTTATAAATGTACTACTAGAAATTGAAAAAGGAAGCTGCACCACGACAGAGGTATCTAATTTTTTAATAAGTTGCTTAAAGATAATTTCCTTTTATAAAAGAAGAAAGATTTTCATGAAATATTCCATTTTTGTAAAAAAAATCTTCATAAATTATACAAAGGGTTGAGATCTTAAATGAAAAATGTAGACGTCGCCTGGATCAACTTTTGATCATTTTATTTTTTATTTATTTTTTTGCAAGAATCAATTAGTCTTGTCGGCTGCTACTGACTAGCTGCTTGGCGAGCAAATTTCGCTATAGTAGCGGTGGTTGGTGAGTTTTTTCTTCGAGTTATTTGTGGCCTCTCGTGCGATTAGACAAACGGTGGCTTTGGAAAGGAATGATGACTCGTTCAAGGCAGCTCCTTCTCGATCTTGATGATCTCAATGATGCCGTCGGACATCTCCTTGACAGCCTCGTACTCGGTCAGGCCCATGCGACGCTTGTTGGAGATGTCATAGACACCACCCTCAGCCTCGGTGTGCTCACCGCGGGTGCCGCGCACCTGCAGGTTGTACTTGGAGGCGACCTCCTCAAGCTTAGCCTTGTTGGCGGCCAGCTTGGGCACCTTGATGTGCACAGAGGCGCGCACGGTGGTTCCCAGGTTGGTGGGGCAGAAGGTCAGGAAGCCAAGACGGTCGTGGTGGGAGAAGGGCACGCGCTTCTCAATGTCATTGACAGCAGTCACCAGACGACGGTACACCTAGAAATTGACATTTTGATTGATCAAAAAATGATATACACACGGTAAAATTGAGCTTGCATTCCCTTCTACTTTAAATTTATAATCAGTTCAGTACAGGTTCAGTAGTTCTTTAGTGGGCAGCTTTCAAGGTTTTGTTTCGCAGGTTGCATAAAAGTTAAATTTTTAAAGTAGTACACTTCGAACAAAATTTTTAGTTGATTTTGCTTTTCAAAATAACTTTGTTGGCAGATTTTTTCTTAAATTTTTTCATCTGGTTAAAGTCATTGATTTTAAATTTTATTACCTGTCCCAGGTCACCACCGGGCTGCATGGAGATGAGGCGGAGGTGATCCTCCTCATTGCACCAGATCAAGAAGGTCTTGGCATCGTTGTGGAAGATACCGCGGCCAGTGGGCCAGTAGCGGCAGGCATTGGCGGCCTATTTAAATTAAAAATAAATTAATTCTTGAAACATCTTACAAATATAGGGTTTAACTGTGGGAATTGCATTATTTAAAGCAAGTTCTGATGCAATGAAATTATGATTTAATTGCTTTAACTTTGTAAAAATTAAAAAATGATTAAAATTTTTTTGTTACATAAAACAGTAAAAAATTAACATTATATTTCGTGCATTGATTTTACCTGCAGGAAACGGTCACCCTCCTTGAAGAGGAAGTGATCGTCAATGAGCTTCTGCTGCACCTCCTTGGTCATACCGGCCAGGGGGAAATAGGTGCCCTTGAGCTCGCCCTGGAAGCCATCCAGAGTAGCCTTCAGCTTGTCCTCCATCTCCTTGTACTGAGTCTCGGTCAGGCAAGGGTTGAAGGGGTAGCCCTGCGGATGATCAAGATCATAAGACTCCGTTTTGGGAATTTCTGTTAATTTTGCGGACCTGCATGGAGCGACCGCAACGGACGCGGGTAGAGATGACATACTCGCCAGTGGGGTCCACATTGGGCAGAGTGTCAACATCACCCCAGTCCTTGTTGGGGTGCTTGGCGTCCTTCTTGAAGCCACCATGGTAGTCCTCGATGATGGGGTCGAAAAGGTCAGAGAAGGTCTGCAAGCGAATTTATTTGTGAATTCAGGAATTGAAGAAATAGAAATTCTGGGCGGGAAGATAATAAAATTGCTAAATTGATTTCTCAATCTGTTATATAATTATATTAGTGTTTGATCATTGTGATGTTGGCATTGGTGGGGCCAATAAAAGTTTAGAGGTGGTAGTAAAAGTGGGTTGGTTGACTTTTGGCTTCACTCTTAGAACTATTTTGAGTGTTGGAGTTTGCTGCTATACACTCTCTTAAACAATTAGTCTTCTTTTTTCAAACATAAAGAGAAAAAAGGTCTAAAAATATTTTTTTTTTTTATCTCGTACATTCCAAAATATTTTGGAAAAAATTAAGCATTATTAATTTTGAAGTTTGATTTACGGAGAGAAATATAATTTTATATCACTTTCTGTATAAGAAGGAAGAGTTCATAATACCCGCATATAAATAATTTTTAATGATTGAGTGTGGGGGTGGAAAATTACCGAGTAGGCCTCAGCGTCAGGGGCGTAGATGCCAACGCCAGAGTCGGGGTTCTCAACACCAGACTGGATAACGTCGAGGAGAGAAGAACCGAAAGAGGGGGTCTTGACGGTCTTGAGCTTGTCGAAGACCTCCTGGGACAGGTACTTCTTCAGGAGAGACTTGCTCTCGGTGCCCTGAAGCTTCTTGAAAGCTCCCTCGAGCTTCTCCAGGGTTGCGGCGTCCACCATTTTGTCACCCGAAAATCTGCACGCACAAAAAATTGCACACATGAAAATTTTCCGCAAAATTTAGCAACGAAATGAGTAAAATTTGATGATGAGACAAAAAGTTAACCTTCTCATATTGAGCGCCCAATGAAAGGCGTTTGACGCATGCCGGCGGCTCGGGATTCCGAAACGCCGGCAAGTCATGACTAAAGATTTTGTGCAAAAACCCATTTTTTCACCCTAAAAATTCAAGTTTCCTCTCGACTCTGAACGGAAATGTTTGAAACTTTCAACTTTGACTTCATTCGTCTGGAAAGGGCTGAAAGGGCGTCAAAATTCGCCATAAATTAGCAAAGGACCGAAAAGCCGCCCTTTAAATTTTAAATGCCTCCAAAATTCGCGAGAAAAAAACGTTTTTTCTCCCCTAAAATCTCTATGAATTGAAGGGCGTGATATTTGTACGTGTATTGGGGGCCACTGGGGGCGGCGGGGGCGGTGCCCGGGGGCCTACCTGTATTGCCGAGTGCCAAGGAACAAAGTAAAGTGATCGGCCTGTGTCGTTCGCTTCGTTTTTCTCGACTCGGCTTCTCCACTTGACGTCACGAGAGCGCTCGACCAATCAGAGCGCGGCTTTTCACCCGCCAGCGCTACGCCGAGCTAGTCGGCGGCTCTCCGAGGCTGCGCTCATCGAAATTCTCGCCTCGTCGGTCGCCGCCGCCGCCGACCGGCCGAACGACAAGAACAGGCCCCCCGACCATCATTATTTCCGTTGCATTTAAAATGACTCACTACATATCAGAGCTGTGCATTGCACTGCCGGCGCGAATAAAAAAATCGCACCGTCTCTTCCTGTTTAAATTTTACATGGGGTCGTTTTCAATAAAAATTTATTTCTTTTACATTTTAATTAAATTGTTTTGTAGATATCTAAATGATTTATTTGTGTTTGCTACAAAATTTCCAACGATAATTATTATTGAGGGGATTATAGAATTTCGTAACGCGAGGCCGAACACGCGCAAAAATAGATTGGAGCCTGGTAATTGTATTCTGGTAATCTGATTATTTGCAACGCGTCACACGCTGCATTGGAACACTTTCAAACGAGCTGCTCTCGTACAATAGTAAAGAGAGTACTTAATTCTCTAATGACCGACACGAACATTGCACGCCAACAAAAGCCAACGAAATCCCTTTGCCCTGATTCTTGTTAAAGATCAACACAATTTAGTATTCTTTGTTAATTTTACAAACGAAGCAAAAGAAGGAGAGAAATATAAAGAGAGCCAATTTAAAGGAGACGATTCATAATTTACATTAATTGAAAATCATTGGAATTTTATAAAATTTAGGCTCAATTTACGTTGTGGAAAAAAATTCTGAGAAAAGATTTTTAGCGCAAAAAATTTCCCTTTTCAATTAAAATTTTGAGCTGTAAAAATAAAAATGCAATTTTTTTTAATAAGAAACTCTATTTATTTTAAAGTGTTTTCTAATTTATAACTAAATTATTTTCGAATGAATTGAAATAAATAAAATTGAGAAGTAACTTTTTTGCACTGATTTTTTAAAAATAATTTTGCTTGCAAAATGCATCAAAATCGCACACCGCGCTTTCAAAGATTTTTCCCCTTTCCACTCCCTGCCTCTGCATGCACCAAATCGCAATCGGCACATGAGCACCAACCACCCTCTCTATCCCGCCGCACACTGGGGGCGAGTGCACTTTTGCCGACGGGCCAGGGGGTGGTGCGCGGACGACAAAAGCCCTGCCTGGGCTCCAACAGCCCAAACAGCCTGCGGCGAGAAAGAGCGTCGATTTTGCTTCCGAGAGACAATGCGAGAACGAGCTCGATGAGATGATGATAATTGAAGGGCGTGCCTTGCAAATCGGGTTCAAGGTCGGCGTGTCTCTTGTCAACCCTTTTCCCCCAGCTGAAGTTTGAAATGTAATAAAAAATGCACGTGCATAATATACTGTACAGTCGTCACGGGAACCGCCTGCGTTGTATGTCATGGATTTTTCATTACTCACGGTGTTCGATTTCAGAATCCAAACGGTTTAAAATTAGAAATGTAATTGGATTTTCAGATCGACGGTTCAGATAATATTTGCTTGATAGGTAATAAAGTTTTAAAATTATTTTAATTTAAAAATTTAAATTATAGCCACTTTCAAAGACTCATTTTTTTTAAAATGTTTTGATAATTATTTTTTTATCCTTCCACAAAGGCAATATTGTTCTCCAGCTCATGAACTCCTTAACTTTTTTCTTATTCATTTCGTTATCAGAAAATTGAAAAAAGGTGAAATTATTGGAATTTATAATTTTTGCAGAATAATGAAAAGTTTTGAAGATTTCGTCTGATTTTTTATTATTTGTAAACAATTTTTAATTTAGACTTTCTTGTAATTAAGAATAGAAAATAATTATGAATAAGACCATGTTTATTATTGACTTTTTTTTCAACTAAAAATTTTAATTTCCTCTCAAATCAAAATTTCCAGTCACAATTTGACTTGCAGTTGTGGTTTTGGCGACGGCGGAGTGAGCAAATTGGCCACTTCCTTTTATATTTCATTCGCATCTCGACGTGCTTGTCTCGCTGCAGACTTTTGCATTCATCGTCGTCGCCGCCGAGCCGCAATCAAGCATGTCTATTTGAACAGTCTCCGCATATTTTTATATTTGTCTGCGGCTTCGCGAATTTAACTCTCGAGCAGAGTGAATTAAAATTATATAATTCTCTGTTTGCCTTCGACGTCAGCTGCACAGAGAGAAGCTCCCAGCAGCTTTCTTCGAACTGAACCCCCCTTAAATTGCTGGACGCGGTCCAAAAGCGGAGTGCCGGAATAGGGCCGAAAAGAACAAGGCCGAAAATGGCTGAGCGGAACAGGGCCGAAAAGGAATAGGGCCGAAAAGGAACAAGGCCGAAATACCGGTGCAAACAAACTAGGAAGAACCGATTTTTTTTGGGAAATCACCGCGATTACCGTGTTATGTCAACCCGCCATCCCAATAAGAAATGGAACGCCTCGGGTCTCAGGACACAAATTTTTTTATCATTGTCCTTATAAATCAAAGTAAGAAATATCTAAATTATTTAATATGTGGTAGGGAGGAAATTTTCAGTTTCCTGGTTTTATTTATGCTGGAAACACGTGAACCAAAAACTGACCAGCAGACTTGAAAACTCAATATTAAGGAGAGCTTTTGCAAAAAATTGACCCAATTAATTTTGCTCTACATTTTAGCATTGGATTTTTTATGTCAGTTCCAAGGAGACATAGTTAAGACAAAAATGAATTTGTTAGGAGAACCAAATTTTTGAAATTTAAATTTAGCATTGTTATGAGAATTTCCTAGATTTTTTTTTTTTTTTTTCAAAATAAGCTTTTTTTCAAATCAATAGGTCAGTGGACATAAAAAATTTACAATGATCTTATAGGAAAAGGTTGAGAAGTTTATACACATAAGTGATAAGTTTCCTGGACAAATAATTTCTTGAAAGATCTTTTCCGAGTTCCGATGCAGTATGGTTTTTTAAGCTGTGCAAGAGATCAACTTATCTTCATCTTGTTGTCCCCCAAATTTATGTGATTTTGTGATTATGTGTCTCGCCCAAAATGAAGATTTTTTGCGAAATCTTGTGTAAAATCAATTTTCATCTATTTTGCAATGCGAAACGGCCGCATGACGGATTTTGATATTGACGCGCAAAGGATTGAATGTTCGCTGAGCTGAACGCGCTCGCGGTTATCGGTTATTTTTCAGCTTTCGGCCTTGTTCCTTTTCGGCCCTATTCCTTTTCGGCCTTGTTCCGCTCAGCCGTTTTCGGCCTTGTTCTTTTCGGCCCTATTGCGGGACTCCCCAAAAGCGGCCAGCGAGATTGGGCCGCGTTGGCCACTCTCAGTCGCGCACCTGCGACCACCGACCGCGACGACACCAATTATTTACTTCTTCGTGCATTCCCCTTTTTCCATCAATTTATTTTTATTTTTTTGTTTGGCTGATTTTTTTCTCCTTCCCTTTTGTATTTATTTATCGAGTGCAAAAATTTTTTAACGATTTGCAGCTGCCCGTTGGCGAGGGCGGTTTTATTGGAGGCGGGATAATGAAAACAAGAAGAGCTGCTGGCAGGAATGCAAACCCAAGGAATTAACGAGGCGCGCCCGCCGGACGAAATCGATCCCGCGCTCCGCGTCCCTGGTCTATTTTCGGGCCGCTTTTCTCTCTCCACCCGCCGAATTTGGATTTCCCACTCTCGAAATTTTCGTTAATCAGAAAAAATCGGCGCTGAGATTAAGTGAGAGAAAAAGGAGACGTGTGCGAAATCGAAGTTCAGTGATGGAGGACCACTTTTTTCGCGAAGCTTCGATAAGAGGAGGTGTGCAAGGACGCGATAATTTAAAGTCGCGGCGCCCGCTCGTGATGTCACACAGCGCAAACAGCCGCACAATTTTTCTGTTTGCTCTTTGCTCAGTATAAACGAGAAGAGCAAAATCCGAAAATGATTAGTACGTGATTCTTTTAAGCCTCTCCGACCTTGCGATATGAGCACCGATGCAATAAAAATTGAAATTAAACGTACGTGGCTAATTGCAAATATAATACAAGGAACAATTTAAAAAAAATTTATATATTATTTCAATCTGCAGAAGGAAATCAAAGCTCAAGAAAAAAAACATAATATCCTTTGGTTGGATTTAAAATGCAGTGACTTTTAATGTTTTGTTTGTTAATAATAATTAAATAAAAGATCTAAAAAATTAAACAACGAAATTTCCATTTTAAACGCCAAGAGATAAATTCACATTAAAAAGAAAATAAATTTTAAATAATAAATACATTTTATGCTTAGATAAGTTTATTTATAAAATTAATTAATTTGGCAATTCCCAATATTTTTTGGAGACATCAAAACGAAGTTTGCTGTCGCAATGCAGCTGTCGTGACTCGCGGTGGACGCACAATAGAAAATTTCGACATGGATACTTAATTCGTTCTTTATTTTCCCTTTCGGATGAAGCAACCACATTTTCCCCAGAGCAGGTCAAGGATTTTCACCCTCGATCGATTTTCTCGCTCGGGCTGTGAACCAACGAGAACTATTTTTTTTTACATCCTCGCCGAGCAACTCGCGAATTCTCTACGTGAACGACGAGGATCTCAATTAACAGCTTTAATTCTCCCGGAGCCCGAGTCGCTCATTCTCTTGTCGTCAAAAGAGAGGCGATCGCGCGCCCTTGGCAATGAGGCTTGAAAATCCGACCGAACGAAACGCTCTATTTTCATCTGCAGCTGGCCCGGCGGCGAACAATTTTATTTTTGGCCGCGATTTCAACGCCCCCAGGTTGCGGCGACGATTTTCCAAAACCAAAAATTTGAAATTTTTTTAAAAAAAAAAGCAAAAAGTCCAATTTTTTGGCTTATATGAAGCAAAATAAAAGCGACGAATATTCTGAAAATTAATTTTTTTTGGGCGTGGGGTTACCCCAGGAAAAGGCACGCAATTAAGGAAGATATAATTTGCATGTGATGAGTTGGCCGACACGAGTGCTGGTGCCAGTTAAATTATTATGCGCGCTGCTGCGACAAAACGCAGCGGCACCACCGAGTGCGAGGTACACACACAACGGCATGGATAGATTATTTTAATTCCCGCGTGCCCCCTTTGCGTTGGCTGTTGCATAATAAACAAAGACGAGCCGTCAAAATAACCCGTTTGTTTGTGCAAACGCCGAGACAACGCTATTCTAGTGTGGAAAAATTACTTAATTTTGAGCAAACGATTTTTTTATTGACCCAATGATAAGACAATTGCAAATATTCCAAAATTATAGGTGAAGTTCTGATTTTCTTTGAAATTTTATTAAGATCACAGTAAATTATCCTATTTTCTTGAAAATTAGTGATTCGAAATCAATAGAGAAAGGATTGAGATTGTAAATATTTTTTGTTTTGTTTATATATAAAAGATAATATTTATTGATTCAATTTGAATTATTTAAATTTTAATCTTTTTTAGACAAAATTTCTGCTTTAAGTTTTGAAACTTATTAAAAAAATTTAGATTCATCAGATTTAATTAACCAAAAACTTAGAAATATGAATTAGAGCAGTATGGCTAGGAACGTGAATTTAAATAAACATTATGTAGCAGAATTAACAAAAAAATTTAAATTGAAAAAAAAATAAACAATCGGTAATTCGAGTTTCGTTTGAATCTCCTAACCTCTACTGCTATAGCTAATAATAAACATAGGCGTTGCACTTTCCAATCCCTTGCGAAACATCAAAGACTGATGTTTGTGATGTTCCTCTTGACTTGAAGTTTTGTTGGCGGAGAGAAAGGGCGCGTCCTCCTCTCATAATTCATCTTTGCAACCGTCTCTCTCTCTTTTCTTCCTATCTTATTTTTCGCGCACGCAAGCGGCCCTCGCTATTCTTAGCAGCCTCGATCTCGCGACCGGCCGCGCGAGAGACCTACGAGAAAAAGCGCATCGACACTTTGCAAATCGCCTCGCTGATGAATTTCGCCGTTGCCAAGCAAGCCAGAAGGAAAAGTAAATTAACCTCGTCTCGTCCGTCAATTCGCTTTTTGTCGCAGCAGCGGGCGCCCGAATTTCGGGCTAGTGCGTCGCCCAGGGTGGTTATCCGCCCGACACGAAAAAGTCGGAGAAGCTTATCAGGGCGAAACTTCTTTCCGCTCGGTTCGTTGCACCGACAGCGGAATTTTGCACTGGGACGTATAACATTCGAGCTTGGCTCGGCATTGATCATGCACCCGCCCCCGCCCACCCCCTGTGGCCCACTTCGACCGATCGATAAAAGTGCGACCCTTTGCAAGCAACTAATAGACGCGTTTGATTTTAATATACATATATAATTTTTTTTAAATTTATTTAAAATTATTTGTTGAATTTTGGCGGAACGAAAATATTTTGACCGGCGTCAGTTGGCAACACAAACCAGCAGCGCGGGCTATTTATTTCGGCTCTTCTGCACTTCGTCCAAATTGTTCCTTCTCTCTCTCGCACCTCTGCCGATAGTGAATTCCGCTCGAGTACATCTCACAAGCAAAAGAATCCAAGTTGGAAATTTCAGAAATTCACACCGTGTTAGCGGAACAAATTCAACAGGCTAATCACTAATCGATTTTTTTGCGGCGAAATATACAATTTCAGGCTTACTTTCGTCCCTTTTTGCTTGAGCAACAAAGCATCTTTGGCGACGTCAAGAGGGTTTTGTCACTTTCGATTTGTGAACAGCGAACTTAGCGATAGGCGAAAAAAAGCATATCTAATAGGGATTAAAACGCGATCAAGGTTGACTCGCAATCAAAAAAGAGTGATTTGCTGTCGCTGGTTCAATTGAGCGAAGTACATTTTAATTTTTTTAATTAATAAATGACTCACAAAGTGCAATCTTGAAATTCGATTGCCAGCGAAAAGTTATCGCTTTGAGGGTCCGGCAATAATAATTGGGTCTCGCCGTGACGAACGACACGCACGACGTCTCGCGATTGTAATTTTCCGATCAATTTACTCCAAAGTTTAATGAAAAAGGCTTAAATGGCTAACTTACTTATCGTATTCTCTGTAGCCAAGGAAGGTGTACCAAAGCGCGAACATGCCAAAATGTCCTTGAGACGCGACCGGGGCGAAAATCGCTTTTCTCTCGGGGGGTGAGAGGATTCGGCGGCGCCCAGCTGAGAGAAAGACTGGCTGCCTGCAATCGATCTGTTTTTCCAGAGGCCGATGCGCTACGGTTTTGGCGCCACAACATAATGCATTGCGTGTTCGAGAACATTGAAATGTATGCGCGGGTCAACGACAGAATCATATCAAATTTTTATTCATGCACAACACGATTTTTAGTCTTTGGTTTATACTTTATATTTTTCTAATGGAAATACCACTGTCATTGTTGGTCTTTCTCGGGCTGGGGCGCGGCTAGAGTGGCCAGGGACAGCTGGACGGACACCTGCTCGGCGCTCGGACAGCCAATTTCTAGCAGCTGGTCGGCTGTGTAGCCTCCGGACGCTAAGGCCTGTTGCAGAGCCACGAAAGAGCCAACCACATTGTTCTGGGAACATGAAATTGGGGAATAATTTGTGGCTTTGAGAAATATTAAATCCAAGATTTAATTTTCAACAGAAACATAAAAAAAATCCTCTCTTATTTTGGGATTCTTGAAATTTTTATCATCGCGCTCTGCAGTCAGAAAATGTTGAGATTTTCAGAACACCAAAACTTTTGCCAATGAACTTTAAAATGACCTGACTGGTAGGTTAAATATATTAATGTTGTGACGCAAACCTCCAAGTTTGACGTCACAGTGAAAAATAGATTTAAAATGTTGAGAGGAAACCAAATATTGATTAATATTTTTATAAAGAAAAATAAAACAAATACAAAAATTAAGAAATAAATTACATAAAAGCAAATTTTCTAACAACATGCAGTTCATGCTTCTTTTCAGGTCTTTGCCAAAATGCACATTGATCCCTTTTCTGTGCTATTCAGGTAGATTAAAATCTAAACAATCTAAATTACCTTGACTGGTCTGAAAAGAATGAACTCCGTTTCTCGATTAGCAAGGTAGAGTTGCAGAGAACGTTGCAAGCTGGGCAAGTGTGCCTTGAGCTGCCTCAACCCTGCAGAAACCACTTCAGCGAGCCGATCTGGACGCGCCCACTCCTGCTTGTGCAGATCAGACGCCGCACCTCCAGCTTCCTGGTATTCCCTCACCTGCAAAAACAAGGAGCTTGCATTTAAAAAAAATATCCATGGTTACAAAGTGTAATTTACATGTATTTTCATGTATTAAATAATATCTTAACAACAACTGATAGTTTTAAAAGCTCTTTCATTTAAAAGACTTTAAAACGTAGCTGCCTTTTAAATTCCTTTTAAAGTAATGCTGATTAGATAGAGTAGAACTTTTTCAAACATACCTTATTCAAAATGCCAAGTATGGGCTGCGCAAGGTGTGAAGTTGCGTGAGTGATGAGAGCCTCGCAGGACATTTTCAGTTGGCGGTCGACCTCTTTTCGAGAGTCCCGCACATTTTCTTTCACTTGGGGCTTCGATCCAGCCAAAATCAACTCCAGCAGGGCGTTAGTTGACCCAAAAGTGAAAATGCGACCCTTATTTGAGGTAAACAGACCAGCTGCTAATGGAATGGGAAAAAGTGATTGTAAAAATAATTCATTCGGAATGTTAGAAAATACAATTTACCTGCCGATCTGACCTGGCTGAAGTCGAGGCTCGTCTCGCGTATCGTGAAGTCCACTTGGAAGGGTGCGATCTGTTCTCTTAAAATCAGGAGGTGCTTCACTTCAAATAATTCAGCGTCAATCGGTGTCTAAAATATAAGTTTTATAATAAAAAAAATATGCAAAATTGAAAAGATCTGATAGTAAATTAAAAAAGTTAATTAAATTTGAGATTAATAATAACCTTAGCAACAGCAATGGCGGTGGCAGCGTCATGAACGCTTTTCACACAGGCACTGAGTGCCTCTTGTGAAAGGCCTTGGAAGATTGCACGGTCGACACAGCGGTAAAGACGAGACAGACATGCCAAAGTCCTACGAACAGTTGGGAACCACATTCCATGAAGATCAGCCGGCGAACCTGTTGAAAAAACAAAATATTTTGAAATTTCTCTTTCAATATTCTATAATACTGTCGCAAAGAAATCATGCAAGTATATGTAAAATAACAAAACAAATGGAACTGAATGAAAGTGAAAAGCAGTTCAAGTTGTAGGACTTCACTGTCAAAGAACTTTTCAATAAACACAAGCAGAGTAAAAATAAACTATTTATGAAGCCTTGAAGACAAATAATTAAATAAAAAGTAAACATGTTCTTACTGCCAGTCCTGGAGCATGGCGTCTGTTTGTCTCCGCCTTCCTGCTGCAGACTGAGAGCAATACTCTAAAATAAAATTATGATAGTTTAAATCACACCAGGAAATTTTTTATGCACCTCCATCATCTCCAGCTTCTCGGGGTAGGCAAGATCACCAGGGGCGGCTCGGTATTGCTCGATGTCTGTCTTGAGGTAAAGGTGCGCCCTGAAGACAAGTCGCTCCTGCACATCTTGCAAAAGCTGCCAAGCCAACTTTCCAAACGCAGCCAAAGGCTCAGCTACGGCACAAGTTTATTATTATAAATTGAATGTTGTTAAATAAAATTGAAGTAATTAGGCTCACGATTTGCTTGGACGTGTTCCTCAAGCATTTCCAGACGCAAAATACTGCAGAGCTCTGCCAGCGTTTCTAAGTGGTTGATGTGGATGATCAAAGGTCGTAATTCATCATACAGACTGTTGCAAAGCACCTCCAAATAAGCCCTTTAAATATAATCAAAATTCATTAAAAAAGAAAGACAGTACAAAAGTACCTAAAGAGATTAAAATATTTTGCAATTTATAAAAATTGAAAAAAATTAATTGTTGTTTTATGAAAATAGTATGTAATTTTAAATTAAAAAATAAAACATTTAAACTTACGTCAATGCTGGTGAGTTGGGTTCGTCAAAAAATTGAGAGAAGAGTTGGTGCTCGTCTCTACTGAGGTGGACGAGAAAGGCGCATGCAGCCCTGACCAAGCCGCAGTGGTCCCCTCGGTGGGTGCTGAGCAGGTCATTGACTGAAGCTCGAACGCTGGGGGCCAGGAGAGACTCTCGGAGGCCAACCAAATGCTGTTGGGCCTGGGCCAGCAGTGCGCCATATTCGCCAGTTCCTCGAGACCGTCGAGTTTCAAGCAGGGCCACAACTCCTCGAACTCGAGGTACCACGGCTTGGAAGCGACCATAAAAAAGAGCAAACGAGTTGCCCTCGGCACTGTTCGACCCCTGAGCAGCCTCTGAAGCAGCACCTGCCAGAGTTTGAAGGAGGAAGGAACGAGCCAAGGCCACCGCTCGAGCCCTTAAAGTGGCACAACGACTTAGGTAAGCGCGGCTTTCTTTAAAGTTTTCCTAGAAAGAAATATTTTCCATCAAGATATTTTTTTAATTTTATTTATTGCTTCTTTAAGAGAAAAACTAAATCCTTTTCTTGCAAAATATTTTTAAGACAAATTCTATTTCAAAGGGAATTTTAAAATTTATGGCGAAGGGTGATTTTCTCATTTTTTAGTTTGTATAAATAAATTACAATAATTTTGATAGTTATAGTTATTTGTTCAGCCTTACATGTTCTTCTAGATAATCAGTAGCATCATCAAGTCGGTCAAGCAGGACACCAAAATTCTCAGAGTTGACTGCAAGAGTTGGAGAATTTAACTGGAATGCAAGGGCATCAACCTCCAAAAAGGGACGGAGACGATGTTCCAGGGCAGCTTCGAGGGCTCCTAGACGTCCCTGGTCGGCCATCAGCTGCTCACTCAACTCGTGGAGAGCCGAAGTTTTGCCAGAAACGGACGTAAACTGGCCCTGAACGCATAAATTAAAATGAATTATTTCCACTTCACAATTAGTGAAAGAAAAATCAAACCTGCAGCAAGTCAAGCTGTTCTAAAGCCTTGGCCAGTCGGTCGAGCAGCAAACTGCACTCACGCCGTCGTTCCTCCAGTTGTCCTCTGTACAACCGAAATGGTGCTGCCTTTTGGCTGTCCAGCTGACCTTCGGCCGCCCCAAGCCATTCAAGAGCTTCCAGGGCTGTCTCAAGACAAACGGCTCCTTTGGAGACGCGCCTGAAGTTTGTCACAAGTGCGTCATCACTTTCATCCTCCTCAACATTCACCGCCAGCTCCTCCTCATCTCCATCGGCAAGCTGCAAAGAGATTCATAATTTTAGCTAATATAAATTAGCACCATAAATAATTCACCAGAGGTTTTAGCAATTAAATAAAATGTAAAATTTTAAAATAAGTTATTGAAACGAACCTAATTCTATTTATAATTCTTGTGAATTCATGTTATTATCGATCAAGCTTTAAAATTTATTATTCAGTTTTTATACTAAACAAAATAAAAAAAAAATTTGAAAAAGGAAGATGATGTGGTAAAAAATCGGCTGAAATTTACATGCTGAGGCAAGGGTTGATGGGCCGCCGCCTCCATCAGTTCGAAAAGTGTGTCTTGCTGGGCAGCGGACAAAGGCGCCAGCGGCCGATCGCCGGCCTCCCATTGCAGCAGGCGGCCACGAACAACTTTGGCCTCTTCGCCGGCCACGTCGGCTGCCATTGCTTTGCGGCGGAACTCGTTCTTCAGTCTTCAGTCGTCGGCCGCTTCGCTGTGTTTTTACAGCTGGCGGTGGGCACGCCTTTCTCCCTCACAACTCTCTCTACTCGTCGAACCTCCTGCCGAGTATGCGAGCCGTGGAGCTGACACTTCCAAAACCAAATTCCGCCGTGCATTTCCAGCATACTTCTCGCATTCCACCCGCGCACGTTCGAATTCAAAATGCTGGCGGTGATGTGCCACGTTGGAAATTGCGACCCAAAATATAAATAAAATTATAGTTTAGTTGAAAACAAGTTCTCTCTATCACTTCACTCTCTAATTATCCAAATTTTAAATTAAAATATTATAAAAATTTGACCTACATAGAAAGATAATTTTGCAACTAATTCCAAAGGCCTAACTTACATAAATTGAAAGACGTTCAAAATAATCGGAATACAAATCATTTATATTTTTTGCAGAAAATAATTTCAATTTTAATTTTAAGTAATTAAATTTATAATTAATTAATAATATGAACTACTTTTACTATTAAAAAACTTAATTTATTTTGCTATTTTGATAACTCTAATGACTTTTTTTAGTTCATCACTGCTGTTGTGATTCGCATTAGGCCACTTCAGAAGTGGGTGACGTATGTGCTCCTCGTTTTGAAAAGGGGGCTTTGAAGCTAAACGGGGGTCTTGGTTTGCTTGTGTCACTTTGATGTCCGATGACTGGCAACGAAGGCGCTCGGAGGTGGCGCGGGGTCCATACCCGGCTAGGAGGGCGTACCGCCGCTAGCAAACACTCTTTACAGCTAGCCGACGATCTGCTGGTGCAGCATGCGACCCTGGCAGCTACAATCCGCACTACCCTTTGTCCCGCGTATCCCGAGGTTATTCGTGGCCGGCCCGAGAGGCGCCGCACGGACGATTTCCGCGCCACACAACTCACAGCGGAATAATTTCAAAGCAACTTATATAGGACGTGCTATTTCCATTTTTTAATATTTGAAATGTTTTAGGCTAATTTATGTTTATGTAATTTTTTTAATGTTAAATACAATAATGAAAACAATATTAAATTTGACGTTCCTGTATATTAAAATTTCATAATTTAATTTTTATCTCTATATAAGAAGTAGATTCGCCACTGGCAAAAAGAAGATTATGTTGTATTATTTTGCACGAGCTTATCATTTCTTTATTGTTTAATTTCTCCTTATTCTCAATAATGGCGAACAGAAAAATCTTGTTGCATTACTTTGCGTTTGCATCTCAGAATTATAATATTTTAATTTCAATTCACACTCACTCGGATCAGTCAGTCGCATTATTTAAGGGGAAAATCACAAGGCGGCCGCTGCGGGCGGGCGGAAGGGGACTAGCAGCGGGCGGAGGGATGCAGCCGCCTGAGATCAGCAGAGGGGAGTGGCCGCTCAGAAGACGGACTCAGCCGAGCGCGAGAGGTGCACCGGGTGCGACGGGGACCGGGCCAGCCGCTTCTTCGGCAACTTGCCCAAAGTGGTCGCCAGTTGAACAAAGTCGGGCCTTTCGGCCGCTTTGAACGCCCAGCACAGCATCAAGATATCCTACAAATCAAATTTGAATTTTATTTTCAAACTTGCTTTGTTCAAAATAAAAATTTTACCTTCGTATCTCTGGAGGCTTGTAGGTTAGCCAACGACTGCTTGATGCCTTTCCCGACTTGCCAGATTATGGCTTCTGGGGGCTGCTCTTTGAAAGGCCAATCTCCACACAACAGCTCATACCAAACAGTACTGTAAGAAATATTTAAATTAAAAACTAAATTGAAAAATTTAAATATTTTATAAGGCACTTCATTAGTTTAAATGTTCTTGTAAACCTCTATTAAACAGCAATTAGAAAAATTTCTTTCTTACCCAAATGCATAGATGTCAGAGGCTTTGGTAAATGGGAGCTCTTCATTCTCAGAGCCACGGAGGCTGCGAATGATCTCTGGGGACAGGTAGCACAGCCACCCGGGCGGAATGCTCAATCCTGAGTTCTTTCTGCAATGACAAATTAAAAATTAAGAAATCAATTTCTCCAGCAAAGTCGGCAAGAATTTTACCTGCTACCATGGCACAGTCTGGTCACATTGAAGAGGCCAAAGTCAGTAATGACCACCTTGTTGTTCTCTAGGAAGATGTTCTTGCTCTTAAGGTCCTTGTGCACAATGCCACGGGAATGCAAGTAACCCATTCCCTATAAAAAATTCAAATATTTAAATCCTTGAAATTCTTTTTGGGTGATTCAAAAGTTATCAAGGAAAAGCCAATTTTAAATTCAAATCACAATGAATTAACCCTCGACTGAGAAATTCTATTCAATCTGAACTTTATAATTCCAACTGACCTGGGTTATCTGCTGGGCTATGTTAGTTGTCTTGTTCATGTTGAACTTGTCCTTTCGCAGGTGGATGTGCGTGTAAAGGGTGAGTCCTTTGCAAAGGGATGTGACCAGCGCCAGCTTTGGTGGTTTCATGCATGCACCCATGAACAGGATCAAATTTTCGTGCCTTGTTTTCCTAAAGGTGCCAACCTGTGAACAAATTAATAAAGATTATTTAGGCTGGGTTCCATTGGAAAAAATTGAATGTTAGTGAAAGCTGTGATCAAAATTACCTCAGACTTGAAAGCCTCGAGTGTTTTCTCGTCGTCGAGATAGTTCATGTTGAGCACCTTGACAGCAACGCTTCCGTGCCAGTTACCACCAAAGACCGTACCAAAGCGTCCAGTGCCAATAGGCTCACTGATGGAAAGTTCGTCATACGGGATGTCCCACTCTCTCAAAGACAAAGAATTCTGCCTTGGCCACGCAAGTCTATCTGCCCCATCCTGTGAGCCCTGAGAATCAAGGCGGTTCAGTCCAGAGTCAGTTGAATCGCCAACGGAGGACACAATGGTTCGGTCTGAGTCATTCGAGCACTGCGTTTCCAGCAAGTCAGGCGCCGGACGACCACGGTGTATTCGAGGGATGCCAATGCCCGAAGGGGGAGGACTCAGGGGATGCGTCTCAAGGGTGACACCACCCACAACCTCAGGAAAGTGGAAGTGGCCTTTGGCGAGCGGAGTGGCTGCTCCAAGAAGGGCGGGACTTGAAGGTGTGGAGCTGTTGCACGAACTTGTGTTGGATGACGAATCGGGTCCAGCAAATGGAGCCACGCCACCGAGTCCCACACCTCCACCACCTTTGGAGCCCTTGCTAGGCTTGCGCAACCCAGTGAGACGACCTGTTGACATTGATGGACTCTGCATCTGCAAATAATAAGAAAACTATGAGTGAAATGTGTTTTGATAAAATTATTACTTAAAATTGTGCTAAAGTAATTCAATTATTCAAAACTTGAATAAAAATTCTTACAGCAAAAGAAAAATATTTAAATAATTTATTAAAATTTATGATCAAGGAAGAAAATTTAAGAAATTAATAAAAAAAAATCTGGACTAGCATATAAGATTGTGGACAAATATATCTTTAATTTAATTTCAAAATAAAAATACTGCTCAAAGAAGGAATAGTTAGAGAAATTGACAAACTGGGAATGTCCCTCCACTTTCCAGCTTCTCCCTGAATGCATCGAAGAGGCCGGTTGGAAGTCCACAAGCCGGCGGAATGCTTTCACTGCAGTCCTTGTGGCACACAAATCCACACTCCTTGCACTTGACCCCAGTGCCAAACATTTGTTTCGAGCACGCGTTGCACTGGGTCATCATTTTAAAGGTGCGCGTGAAGCGGTGGTTGATGTAGTGTCCCATTTGCCGACCAACGGTTGGCGTCTTAGGGCTCTTGGGGATTTGCAGCCGTCCTAGAGTTCCTGCAGGAATGTCATCACTACAGTCCGAGCCTCCTGAAGGTCCATATGGCGGTGAACGCAAAGGGGATGCCAAGAGGGGTGATGCATGACCACCCACATCCCCTCCATCACCACCAACAGTTGGCAGACGTCCTCGCCTTCGAAGATCTCTGGAATATAAATTAGGAATATATTTAAATTAATGGCTAAGACTTATTATTATTTTGTATCTGCAAAAAAACTTAAAAAATATTTTAAAGAGAAAAATAAAAATATGATTAGTTAAATATTTAAAAAAAAAAATTATTTTACTGAAAAGAATTTTACCCTTTCGGAGCACTCGTATCACTGCTAGTTGGAGCCTCTCCCTTGTTACTCAATTGCGATTCATCCGACTTTGACTTCTTCAGCGGCAACTCCGGATTTGGCAGCGTCCTATTAGTGTTGACAGCACTTTGATGGGGCAACTGGTTGCCTGTCTGGTGCTTTTTCCTTGGTGGAGGCGTAGTAGGAAATTTGACTTTGCCTTTAGCCGTTGGGGTAGCGGGCGGTGTTGGGTGCAGAGAAGCAGGCGAAAGGGGCCCCGCCAATAAATGGGGTGCCGGAGGTCCTTGATGTAATCCTTGGCAAGCCGGTTCATCCTCTGCTGATGGCACAGAACGTCTCTGGTGCCTGCTGCGAGGAGGCCTAGGGGAAGTACGGGAGTCATGGGGCCCAGTGTGCACAGCACGGTCCCACGAGTCCCAACACAGGGTTTCATCTAACGGCTCAACTATTCCGTCTTTTCGCTCCTCGCGCCCTAAAATGTCTGCAAACATAAAATGATATTCATAAATACCAAATAAATAACTCTTTAAAATTATGAATTCATAAAAAGACAAAAAATAAATTGATAACAAGTCGTCTTCTTCTTCAACTATATTTTAATTTAATATAGTTCAATAGTGATGAAATTATTGTTGCCTCACAATAATTGTTTGTCAATAAAACTTTTAAAAATTAAAAGAGACATGACATCACATTTGCGGCCAATATAAAATAGGCCATGTATAAATTTTAGCTTGAAGCATCTCTTGATGAAACTTAGTCTAAAAATAATTATCTAAGAGCTCACCAATATATCGGCGAAGGTTTCTAAGGGCACGAGCTAGTCGCCTTGTTTCTTCCTCCCTGAGGCCAGCCTCGTTAAGAATCAATCGCACCTCATGCTCAGACTTGTCCCGCAATCCTTCCAGTGAATAAACTTTTCGGCAAACACCCTAAACGATGATAAGATAGTTTAATTTTTATTTTAAGTTATTTCGATAACTGAGACGTACGTTGATCGAGTCTTCCTTGAGACCAACGACCTTGAGCCATTGGACTAGACAACTTTGGCCGTGTCCAGGTGCTCGATGAGGCTCTCGCAGCTGCGCCCGGCCAACCATTTGCCTCGAAAACAGCTTAACAAGCTTGCCCTGCAAAGAAACACGAATGAAAATAATAAATGAATGTAAAAAGGGGTTTCGAGGGTGCGAACAAACCTCGAGGGTGCGGATCTCGTGCTGAGTTAGCCGCTCCGTAGTAGAGCATTCGGTACGTAAACCCTCCAGCCGCTCGGCGGAAAGGTCTATCATGCTCTGTAGCACCCTGACGTGCTTCAGGGCCTCGCTCTCGTCCTCCGCCATCGCGATTACATCCTCAGAATCCGCAACGACCGCATCCGAGGGCCGCAATCACCAATTGAGCCGCCATCTTGAATCCACCCGCCATCGATTAATCGCAAGTCGCCACAGAAAGCAACCGGTATTTTTGCGAATTTGCAGCTTACGTTTTCGGGGTCAAGGTCAACCCCCAAAAACAAATATTTTCCAAGCAGTAAGATAAATGATTTTCCGTTCGTTTTTCTGACATTTGAAATGCTCTTGAGTCTTAAATTTGTAGATATAAAACCGGTTTTAATTTAATTTTAAAACCGCCATTTTTTTTGCAACATTATTGAGCAGAGCTGCGATTAATGCAAAAAGTGCAAAAGTGTGAAAAGATAATCATACGGAATTCAGCACAAATAATGGCGTTTAATTAATATAGTTAACAATGAATTTATTTTTTTGCATTTAGATTCTCTAATCTAAAACCAAAACAGAATAATAATGTATCAATGATTATTGCCATTTTATTTCAATAGAGAATATATATCGGAAATCGGAATATAATATATTAGAGTCATCTTTCAACATTTTTTTAAACATAAAAGTCTAAAATTAAGAATCTTGATACAGGAATACTGAAGTATAGAGAGTCATTAAAATTGTGTTCAGTCGAGGGTGGCACCACAGAATTATGATGTGTATAGTAGAAAGTTGTGAAAAATTAAACTTCAATGTCTTGATTTGATGGCGGGCGACCCTGCGCCTTCCACTGCAGTTCTTCTCGCATCTTGGGTTTGTCTGTCCTTGTGTGCCATACATACACCTTAAAATAGGACTCCAATAAATTCATAATAATGTATAAAAGTTACAAAAATACCTTTGTGCAGTTATCGGCAAGCACCTCTAGTTCTTGCTTTGTAGTTAGCTGCTTGAGCAATTGGCTCTCTTGATAGCCTGGTTGAACTTCATAGAGGAACCTGTTAGAAAAAGGGTTAAAAATTGGGTTATAAAATTAAAAAAAAAAAATAATAAATAAATTACTTTGCATCAGGGTGATTACGGAGTGTGGCAAGGTTGATGGCAAAGCCAGCCATGTCAATAGGAAAGGGCCGTTCAGGTTTGTAGCCTGCGTTGAAGGACGCGACGCCTCGGCCATCAGAAGAGGGCAGTGGCCTTTCAACCATAAGTCCTCCTACCAGACCCACAGGCCAGACTCCGACGTTTTGCACATATCTCATTTCCTCGAAGAGTCGAATGCTGTACGAGTTGTCATCGTCGGCAAAGTAAACAACCCCTAAGGGTTCTCCATCAGGGTTAATAGGGGCAACTTTCAGAGGTCCGTCGCTACGAAGCCACTCGAGGGCCGTATTTCGTTGGAGAACTCCTCGGGGTTTGGCCCAGTGAGGATCTTTTGCTTTCAGTTTTTGCGCTGGTGGAGTGTGTGCGTGGAGGTGAGTGTGCGAAAGGCCGCTGGAAGCCAGCAGATTTTTAACAAGTGGTGTTGGCGCCTCTGCGTCCTCAACAATTACCCAGTGCAAATTTGGAACCAATAAGAGGGTTTGATATAGTCTGAAAAAATTAATTCTCCAATTACATACTTTTTTTTACGATAATGACTCAAATTTAACCTTGTTAGTTCCGCCTTCTGCTCAGGCCGAGCGTACGTCGGAGTCACAGCAAAGATAACTGGCAGGCTAATTAAGTCTTCTTCTAGATTACAGCCTTTCTTTTTCAGAAGGGCTAACTGAAATTAATTACATAAAAAAAATGACAATTAAAATCCTTGAGATTTAAAAAAAAGTGGAAAAAATTTGAATAATTATTATCGAATTAATTTTCCAAACCTGTCTTTTAAGCCTTGCGATTTCCGCGTGTGGTTCATCTACATCGTGTTTCAGGGTGATAGCTTTGGCGACATACTCGGAATGCCTTCCGTCTGCAAACCATTGATAATTACATAAATTTGACACTGAAAATAAAATTGGGCCTTACCCGAAAAGGTCATTACAAGCAGGACGATTATTCCGATGAAAGCAATGCCTATTAGCAGGCCACTGACCCTTCTCTTCATTTTTCTGTTCATAAGAGAGCTTCAAATGCACCTGCACTCAGTGCATCCCTCTCGGCCACGTCACGGCAGGGACCCTTTCCATTTGACAAGGCAGGAATTTTTTAAGTTGCAGCAGCGTGAATGGTAAAATCTCGATTTATCTGTGTTCTCCGATGTTGATGTTGACACCACATCAAGCGCCTGTGACGTCACATCGCCGGCAAAATCAAACTAAACCACGCCCATTTGTAACCAACATTGACGAGATTTATGTATTTGATAATTATGCCTATGCCATACAACATACAACACCGCGCATACCGGAATGATGAATTTTCCGGGATTTTATTATATGTGGCTTCGCAGAAACAACAGCACAATAGAAAATTCTCCTTCCGGCAAATTAATTTTTTTTTGCATTTTTCTGTTTGCAGTATTCCTAACAATAAAGTGTGTCATGGTCACGCTTCTCTTGCTACTGATAAGTGATATGAATTTTTTTTTTTTTACCTCAAATTATTATATTATTATTATCATTATCATTTTTATTCTTCAAGCGTTTCTTTTGTATTAAATTTCAAATTTGGAAAAAGCTAATTCTTTTTATGTCCAACAACTTTTTGATAGTAAATAAATTTATGTTAAGGAAAACTATCAACTAAACTTAATTGTTAATTTAGTGATTTTTTTTTACCTAAACCTAAATTTTTCAATTTGAAAATAAAAAATAGTTAAAATACAGAGATGAGCGGTCCATTGGTAAATTAAAAACCTAGGGGTTTGTCGTGACCAGACCAAAACTAAGTCATAGGAATTTATTTATTATTTCATTTATTAAATGCGTATTTATTAAAAAATTACTGTTCCAGTTACTGTTTTGACACGTTAAAACCCTAGATTTTTAAGGAACCAGCAGACCCGCAGGTCGCCTTTTGAGGCCAGTTCTGTAATTTTATTTGTTACATTATTTTTTCAATGAGTTCCACCAGGCTTCAATTTTTCATGCAATCCACCTTACGAATGTTATCATGCAATGTATTCCTTGCTCTTTTTCTTCAAACAATTTAGTTATTATTTTCTCACAAATGACGCTCCTGTTCAAAATTAGACTGGCGCTTCTGAATGGCTTAATATATAATATTAAAATATACTTTTTTGATACTTTTAAAAAATAGTTGCACTAATTTGTCAAGCTTATATTCTTAATGCGACGTTATCACTTCTGGAGCAATCACTCAGTAAGTGAATTGTTCTCTAACTGCTCTCTAAAAAAAATCGTGGATTCAAAAGACTTCAAGTGTGTATTGACACATTTTGTGCTCATAAACACCGAGTTTTGATGTGATGGCTGAACTTCAAATTGTTGGCAGAGGTCCAAGCCAGCGTACGAGTGAATCATGCATATAGAGCGCGCGCGGCCCAAAATAGAATTCGGCTTGTCCGAGCTAATTCCAACTCTTTCAGTGTCTCTTGGGCTGTGCCTGCTACACCATCCCATCTCGACCACTTCATGAGGTTCGTCTTTTTTGCTTCCATTTGACATTTAAAACCGCGCATCCTAGATTTCAAATGTATTGCAAAAACAAAATTTACTAACAAAGAGTACTGCCGCTTGAAGAGTATATTTTTTACAGCATCCGCTTTGCATTCACATCCTTGAAAAGAATTTTATCTTTGATATTAAGATAACCGAGATTACAAGATCGCTGTTCAATTAGCGAGAGCTATTTTGAGATTTAATTAATGTTTCACTTTGCTGAAACTTTTTAAGCAAATTAATCGATTTACTGTTAAAAACTGAAGGCTCCAATGAAAAATAAGATTTTTTGCTTCAAATAAAGTGTGTGTAGATGTGCTTTAATTTTTAATTTCAAATTTAATATGAACTATTTTCTAAAAGGCGTCATAAATTTATAATTTAATTATTCTAACAATAAGATATCAAAAAAGGAAAAACAAATCTTTAAATTTTTATCGTACCGTTTTTAGATAATCTAGCAACAATATTTATGATTTTTTTTTTATGTTTTCAACTGCAGAAGTGAATTAAATTATTAATTACTTAATTAATTAGTCGTTGATTGGATTTTGTATTATGTATTTCCTGTTGTTCCAGCAGCACTTCGTACTTCCGATCGCGATATTACCCTTCCTCATCCCGCGCACTCCTAACCTCACGATCTCCCTCCCCCATGGAGCAGTACAACGATCTCTCCACTCGGTACCAACAACTGACCGACAAGTACGTCAACCTGAAGCAAAAGTACCGCGACTTTTCCAAGTACTCGCCGTGGTCACACACGTCCAACGACTCGGATGAACTGTCGCGACTTTCGGCCGCGCGTTACAGGTCACCGACGCCAGTCATTGCTCCAGCAACCCCTCGGCAGGCCTCGAGGGTGCCTGAAAGGTACACTTCGTCCTCGTACAGGACGCCACCCCCGGCCGCGGCCTTCAATAATATGTCCCTGGACGAACCTGAAGAGCCGCTGCTGACCTCCGAGGCCATCATGAGGAAGTATCGCAGCCCTTTGACGGAGCGTCAGGTCGAAAGGGAATCGCCCAGGATGAAAAACCCGAGCATCCTAGACCGCGAGTTGGAGATTATTATGCCCAGGTTAGTCGATTTATGCAACCGGCACGACACACCCGTCACGCGGGATGCGTAACTCGCGTTCTGGCAGGCTGAAAATAGAAATTGTGAGAAATTCCTCGTTGTCTGCGACGATTGGCTCATAATTTATTATTGTCCGTACAAAAGCAGAATGGAATGGGGTTGGAGAAACGTGCTTGGCTCTCGATTCTGACCAGAGGCATGTGCCATTTCGCTCCACGACATTTGGCTAAACACCAATTAAAAATTGGCCAAGCGGTCGCATATTTTTCTCTTCCTGGTTAACGTGTGTGCGAATTTAACTTGAAATTTACGTCTTACTGTATACGAATTAAAACAGTTTTTGAGAAGAGTTTATAGGGATTTTGAATAAGAAGTAAAACTTATTTTTTAATTTAGTTTTTAATCAAAGCGGCTCTCATAAAAAATAATTTTTTTAATAATTATATTTCTTTAATTGGTAACATGCAAGAATTAATTTACGGTGAAATTCCTTGAAAAAGGAATTCAAAAGAACCAGTTAATCTGATGATTTTTATTTTTTTGCTTTTTTAAAATATGTGGAAAAAAGCTCAAATTTTAAAAGGGTTTAGAGTGTTTCCGGATGAATGTTTACATTTGGCTTGCGACTGTTGACGTTAATGAAATTATGTTTTAGATATAAGCAGCGTGAGGAACTCGAGCGGAAAGAGGCCCTCCTACGTAAAAAGGAGCCGACCCCTCCGCCCGCCAAAACGGCGCGCGAAGAGAGTGTGGAAAATGGATACTCCGCCGAAGGCCTTCCTCCGGTGCCGTATACTTCCCGCTACGATAATAACAAGTACGCACTCAAGTACCATCACAACGTCGCCGCCAAACATAGAACGCACGCAAATGTGCCCAAGTACGAGAGTTTCGTTCCGGTCAAGGTGAAGCCGGCGAGGAAGTTCGTTTGCTCGGCAAGGGAACTGAACGAAATTATCGTAGAACCTTCAGGCGGCGTCTACGTTCTTCCTAATGAGCCGTACAACGAGGTCTATCCTGATGTTTTCATTGGAGATATGTAAGCAAATTTCTCATTGTCTTATTTATTATTTAAAGTAACTTTTTTATAGAAGAAAGTTAAATTTAATGTTTTATTTTACTATTACTCACTATAAATATGATAATTTTAATTTTGCATTTTAAATTTCTTTAATATTTAATTGTTATTTAGTTTTACCATATATTTCTTTATTGCATTTTCATTGTTTTACTTTTTTACCACTAATGGTGTGGTATGTTTTGTTTAATTTGAGATTTATATATAATAATTTTTTTTTATGTATGTCATTTGCGCAAACGGTAATCATTTATTTGGTTACACTATTACTTGGGTGTTCCTGTTTATAGCAAAATTAATTTGAAATCATTTTATATCACAATACGATTGTCAATTGGAAATAACTTTGACTCAGCGTGGTGAAGTCACTTTTCTTCGTGAAATTCACTTAGGTTGCGTCAAGATCTCGAATTGAAGTTTGTCTATATTATTGGCAAGCGCCGGTTCTGGGTCATTGCTAATTATTTCTTCCTCTCTTTTGTTTCACGCCGATCTTGGCCAACAGGCACACGGCCTTGTGTACTCAACAGCTCCGTGCTCTGGGCATCACCCACGTCCTCAACGCTTCCCAGAAGGACCCTCGGCCAGGCGTCCAGGAGCCAGGCTATTACGTCAACACCACGGCCCAGTACTATCGAAGGGTAGGAATCGAGTTTCTTGGAGTTCCGGCCACCGACAGTTTGTCCTTTGACATCAGCCAGTACTTCCAAGACGCCGCTTCATTCATTGACTCGGCACTTCACACAAATGGTCTAGTAATTAAAATTGCAAAAAATTAATAATTTAAAATTAAATTCAGGTCCATTGTTCCATTGTCATCAGGGCATTAGCCGATCGGCCACGCTTGTTCTTGCCTTCCTGATGCTCCGTCGCGGAATGACGGCCCAGGACGCCATGAGGACGGTCAGGTAGGCAGAAAAAAATTATATCAAAACAACCGTCGTGACTCATTCATTCATCAATGGTGCCGATCGATTTCTCGGTCATTTCTATCTTTGCTGTCGAGTCACTCTCGTAGTTTTGGCTTTGGGCCAAATCTGCGCCAGTGACACAATAATCAGTGGTATTTCGAACGAGGCAACGATTCCTTCTTGCTAGACTTGTTTTATTTTTCTATTATTGTTAGGTTTGCATGCCAGGGAATGGAACAGACTGCTGAAAGTAGAGAATTTTTAAGGCACACTCTTGCGCAATAAATTTAAATTAGATAATGCGTAGATGAATTAATGTTGTTGTGCAACCCTTTTAATTTGCTTCTCTAATTTTAACAGAGCCAAGAGGCAAATCATCCCGAATGAGAGTTTCTTGCGACAACTGGTTGAGTTGAACTCCAAGTTGATGTCGGACAGAAGAAATTACTACAGGAAATAAACGCTGCCTCAATTATTTATGTGCAGAAAATGAACTGCTTAATTGTGGTCAATGTGAAATTCCAATTGAGCTGGGTGCGAATGTTTGAGGAATTTGGTAATTTTTTTCTTTTTGATTTTCAATTAATTCTTCTTATGCGGAATATATATTTTATCTTACTATGCGTTTTTCTACAGTCCGAAATTCCTGGCAAGCTGTGAAAATATTTTAATCTGATTTTCACCCCGATCTCAAAAGCTAGGTTCATCGACTATTTATTGTATTAAATATCTTCCTAATATTTGTTGTTTGTTATTTTTGCCAATTCTGGGAGGATTTGGATTCTTTCAGGAAGTCAAACATTAATCTCATGGGTGCGTTAGTGGAATGAACTCATTTAAATAATAATAAAAATAAACCTTTTGTACCAAGCAGCAAAAGTTTTATTGATTAAATTTTTTGAATTTGTATGAGCTATTTATTTATTGAATGTGTGAATTTTGGTCTTTAAGACTAATTTAATTGGGATTTTTGATCTTCTGAAAAATTTCAAAATAATTCCTCCTAGTATTGGCAGTTTGTGATGCCAACCCTGATTTTCCTTTTGTATACAAATTTTAATTTCACTTTTTGTTCGCAACTTGGAATGAAAGAAAATAAGAAAGAAGCCAAATGATCAAAAACATTTTGTTTAAATTTATTTTTACATTCATCCTCCCACGCCTTCTTCATCCATACAATTCAATTTAGGCCTTTTTAATTTACAAAAAATTGGCAATTTTTCATTTTTCTTTGAAATAAAAAAGCGAATATTTTCCGTCTTGCTGAAGTTATATAATAGTACAAGCATCCAGAACATCAGCAGTCGCGCAGATACAAACATTGAACAAGCTTTTGGATGCTTTTGTTTAAAACACAGTTTGTATATTTTCTTGGACAGATAGAACACGAGTTTTGCTCTGCAATAGATGCGGTAGTACAATGACAACCTGGGTTTAGATTTTCCTTTTTTCGGGTGAATGAGATTTTTTTCTGTATAGTTTATATTTTGTGGGATAAACGACATACAAAACGCGCGTAACTGGCCTTGAGTCATCACAGAGAATGAGTTAAATATATAATTATCAATATGTACAAAAATTAAGGGAACCCATCACACGGCGATGGTGAAGTCTTCCAAATTGTGCCGCCCGCCCGACGAGGGGCTGTAGTAGAATTTCATGCCACCGAGGCGCAGTTTCTTCAATGAGTCCATATCACATTCTGCCTCACTCGGCTCCAACGTGAACTCGTGGAAGCCGTTGGGCAAATCCGTTTTCTGTCGAGGGGAGTGCACGTTATCCACGTCCAGAATCGCACGCCGACTAATATGCCCACTCCTATTGACATTTCATAGAAACAATGGCTTTATTTCAATTTGGTGTTTTTCCACTCATAATTTAAATGTTATACTAATTTTGTTTTTCAATGAAATAAAAAAAACTTTATATCTAGAAAATTTAATTTTAAATATAATAAATTTTTACTTGATATTAAACTAGGGAGTGAAAAGATATAAATTTATTTGTTATGCAACCAGCGCATCACAACTGCCGTACAGGTTGCCTAATTTTGAAAAGATTTCACTCACCTCACTTTTCCATGTCTGTTCGACTTGCGTTCAGAAATTGGTGACGGCTCGGTCGACGTACTTGATTCTTGATTGTGGTACAGAAAATCTGCGGAGAAATTTGTGAATTTTATAAAACTAATGAGCGTCGCTTTTTGGCAATTCAACTAATGGGGGCAGGGCTCAGGGTTGCGGTGTCATGCCTAAAAATTTGAAAGTCAATACTAACTTACTGAGGTGCGGCCGGAGAGGGGGAGGGCCTCCGTGCAGCTGGCTGGAGGACTCTGTGCGACTCGAAAGGGGCTCCTCCTCGTCCTCGGAGCCCAGCGTGTCGTACTCCTCGCTCTCCGATTTGAATGACTTGCGCCGGCCCCTGCCTCGACCGAGCGATCTGCTGCGGACCTTGATCACGCCGCAATATTACTCACGACAGTACAATATAAATCGACGGCAGTTTTTTGAAAATGAATTAAAGTAAAACAGATAATTTCCCCAATTCGCATAATTTTCAATCTTATCACCCTCAAAACAATTTATTTGTTAATTTAAAAAAAAATATAATTATCAAATCATAACAAAAGATACGATTTTAGAGGGAGAAAGATTTTCACCTGCTTCATCTGCAAAGTCTCCGCCGCGTGCTGCGACTCGTTGTACAGCAGTGCCTGCAACTGAGGATTGGACGCCATGTTTTCCTGTTCAGGAAGGTGAAAAGTAGCGTAGGGGTAGATGTCCTCTGAATATTCTGTAATTGCCAATTGCACGAGTCTCTCTTTTACTTTGTCAGTTTATATGTGTTTTTTTTTCTCGTCAAGCAGCCGCGAGACTCGGCCGAAATTCCAAAATCTCTACTTTAGTATCAAAAGGGATGCGAGGGAAGAAAAGAAGAGTTACTGCAAATTTGCTCACCTGGGATTCTCTCCAGGGTGCTGATGTCTCTGATGGGCGAGGGCATTGGTTTGCGCACCGTGGCGTAGTATTGGAGCTCCCGCTGCTCCATGTTCTGCTTGTTGTCCATGGCCATCGAGGCCTGCGACTCTTGCATCGCGTCATGGTCTGGCTCTAAAATATGACAAAAGTAAAAAATTTAAAGTGGTAAAATTTCAGTTTATTTTTTAAATTTAAATTCGGCCTTTCTTATGCATGAAACCCGTCAAGGAGAAGCCAAATTTAAATTAAAAAACCATGAATCAATTATCAATCGTGAATTTCTTCACTAAATGGCAAATGTTACTCACTTCGGCGCCAGCAGTAGCAAAAACCCGCGACTACGAGGAAAATTGCGGCTACGGCGATTGATGAGGGAAGCAAAACTTGCGGGTCCAAAACGGAAATTGAGCTTTCGTCAGAGGCGGAGAGGACGACTCCATGAGACGGCGTAACTCCTTAGAAATTTATTTTAAATTCAAACAGAATTTTTCAAGCAAGAAAAAGAATCTTCTTAAGCTGATTTTTTTTACCTCCAAATTGATGCATTGTTTCAAAGTCAAATTCAGCCATGGCAGTGCCGGCGTTGTTGTGCGCTGTGACCCTGAGGAAGTATTTTGTGCTCGGCTCGAGGCCTTCGATTAAATATCTTGGCTGGGGAGTGACGCTGCTGGACACTGTTTGCCAGTCTGCGTTATTTTTCCTAAGCTCAACTGCAAAGTGTTGAACTGGGCAGCCCCCGTCAGACCAGGTGTTGAGGTAGAGGACAACTGCAGACATGTTCGGCTGCAGGAACTGATTTCGGGTTGGAGGCGCCGGCTTCGTGCCGCTGGTGCGCGCGACTTCAGTCTTACTTGATACACCGTTGCCAATTTTGTTGAATGCTAAATAAAAAAAATCAATAAACAAACAAAGAAAATTGTAAGTATTGTTTTCAATAACACATATTCATTCTTTCTAACAACAGAAGCTCTCAAAAATTTTAATTTTTTAAATGCTCTTAACATAAAGTTTTTTAACAGCCCTTAAAAATTTATGCTTTCAGCTTTTTAAAAAATAAAATATAAAGAAAAAATATAAATATTATATACATATAATATATTTTTTCTTTATATTTAATTATATACATGTATATAATTAAATTTATAATTAAGTAATAAAGATTTATATTAACTTAAAATAACATGTGCATAAAATAATTTTTATTAATTTAAAATTATTTTATAGCAATTTACTATTTCAAAAATTCAATATTAAGACAAAATTAAAAAATAAAAAATATTTTGCTTACCTGTAAGTTTGAACTGGTATTGAGTGCCGCAGTCCAAGTTATCCAACAAGTAGGTGGTCAATCGTTTGTCGAGACTGACGTCCTCCCACTCGGACGAATGCGAGTCTCTCTTGAACGAAAGCAAAAAGCCCTTAACTGGAGCACCACCATTGTCGCCCTGTTTCCACTGCAGCTGCACCGAGTTGGCGGTCACAGCCGTTGCCAAAAGAATCGGCTGCGTCGGAGGAACTAATTCAATAATAACAAAAAAGATTACAAAAAATTAAATTTAAAGAAATAATACCTTGAACCCTGAGAGCAAAAGTAATGTGGTCGGTACCGATGTTGTTTCTGGCGTAGCAAGTGTAGTTTCCATCGTGGGCTCGCTGCACGCTAGAAATGACAAGGGTGTTTTCGGGGCTGACGGTAACTCGGTGCTCCTTTTGGATTTTCATATCGCCTTTCTTCCAGTCCACCGACGGCCGTGGGATTCCTATCACCTGACAGGGCAGCTTGACGTCCACCTTCCAAGGCACAGTGATTGCTTGGCCGAAAGAAACAATGGCCGCAGGAACTAAAAAATTGAGTTAAATTTTAAAATAAATTCTAACAATTGAAATACGAGTGTATCAGGGTTTTAATTAATTTTTTTTTTCAAATTATATCAATTTTTTGACGTAATGCAATATTTTACCATTACACACAATTTAAACTTATTTTACAATTTGAAATAAAACTTAATTATTTAAATAGAACAAAAATAAAAATTACAGTAAATCCACGTAAAACTTTCAAAATAAAATTATCTAATTTGTAAGCTTTTTTCTCTCTGTTTAGAAAACTTAATGTAAAAATATGAAAGTTAAGATTTAAAATTTTGAAAACAACATAATTATATTCCGGTCTTACCTGAGGAGCTGGGGTGAAGTTTGACGACAGGAGTGTTTTGTCCCTGTCCAATCTTGGTGGACGCGGTGACCCACGCTTCGTAACTGTCCCCATTCCTTTTGCGGATGTCCTGCACCATGTACTGTGTCTGCGTGGGCGGCAGAGTCCACTTGGATACTCTGTCCTTGGCCTCCGAGCTGGAGCGCAGGTGCACCGTGTACTTGGTGAGGACGCCGTTGGGTCTGCGCGGCGGCAGCCAGCTGATGATGACCGTCGAGGGCGAGCTGACCGCCGCCTTGACCCGCTCGGGCGCTTCGGGCACCGTTTCCTCAGTGCGGCAGAAAACGATGGTCGACTTTACTCCGTCGCCTGCTCTGGTGTAGGCAAGCACTTGGACGCTGTAGTTGGTGAAGTGCTGCAGACCGTGCAGAATGGTGTTCAAACCTGCTGTTGACCTCGTCTCACTGGTTCCCATTGAATCTAATAAAACGTCAAAATTTTCAGCGGGGTTATTTGTGGAGAATTGTTTCTAAATATTATCATTAACATTTTAATTTTATTTGATTAATAAATTAAATGCACAATTCAATATAAACAGAAAAGCTAATGATAAAAGACAACAAATTTATTGTTAAAAATCTCTGAACCTGATTTTTAAAGTCGCGCAGATTTAATATTCAATTATAATTAAATTTTTCTATATTATTTAATTAATTAAAATGACTGCGTAGAAAAAATGTTTTATTAAACATAAAAATTTTAGACTTAACAATTAATTAAAAAAAGTTATAAAAAAATTATTTTTTTGTTTAAATAAAAATAAATGTTAGCTAAAAATTCAAAGAAAAATTTTGTTTATGTTTACAGTAATTTAATATTTATACAAAAAACAAGAAATTCATTTACCTGACCACTCTTCTGCAGGTTCATAAGTGACTCTATAGCCCTGAATTATGCCATGGACCTTCAGCATGAGAGGAGGTTGCCACGTGACCTGGATGCTTTGGGAGGTCAGTGCAGAGCATTTCACTTCCTGAGGAGCGCCACTAGGAACTGAATATACATTTATTTTATTTTAAATCAAAATCGATTTCAAGGGAATAATTACCATCCTCCAGTGTCAAAACAGTGAAAGGGTCTGAATTAGGACCTTCGCCGATGCTGTTCACCGCCTGGACCACAACCGAATACTTTGTAAATTTTTCCAAATTGGTCAGTCTGAAATCGCCGGGCATGTCTCCAGAAATTGACACCCTGGTGAAATTGAAACCATTGTCCTGCAAACTAGAGAGCCACAATAATAAAAAAAAAATTATATTAAAATAATGTTTTTGTACTTGTGGTTGACTTTTTTGAATCCAATGTTGTAGCCCAAAATGTCCCCATTCCAGAGTTCCCTGTCAGGTGGTTGCCACGTTACCCTGAGTTGAGTGGAAGAAACTGGCTCTACAGACACTTGGAGCGGAGGACCAGCTGGATTTTCTCCAGAAGTCATACCCTAATTAATTTTAAGATGCAGCATGTAAATAAATTAAAAACACAACTAGAATAATAAATAAAGCTTTCCTAAAAGAAATTTTGATACATTTTTATAAACAATTTTGGTTGAAGTTTAAAAAATTTTTACAAATTAAAAAACGAGCTTTTCAATTTATACATTTCATAAGTGATTAATTTAAGTATTTAATTTCAAAAATTAAAAATCTCATCACTTTTCTCTGCATAATTTGAAAATGTTGTTAATATTGATTAAAATCAATTAAATTGTTTTAAAATGAAATTCATTCATTCCCCTTTTTGCAAGCACAAAGTTTTAGATTTATTAGAGCCTGTGAGTTTTTGCTTCTAAATCGTGGCCCATAGAAAAGCGAGCGGCCTTACGTGAAGGATGTCACTTGGTTCGCTGGCTCCGAGCTGGTTTTCCGCGTAGAGTCTGAACTGGTACATTGTGGCCGGCTTAAGTCCCTCGACGGCGGCTGTCGTTTTATCCCCGGGTATTATTTGTTGAGCATTATGTTCGTGCCAAACATCTGGAAAATCGAGATACAACTCAATTTCCCTCGTCTGTTTGTTTATTCGCGCATTTTCTGACGTCTCTCTCGGCACTGACTGAGAGAATTCGTCCTTGCGCAGTTCGACCGCAACCACTCTGTACGTTCGTGGGAAGAGAAAAAACTCACCATTTGATTCTTTGAATTGGAGGACGTAGCTGGTGATGGGAATATTGGCATCTGGGTTGCTCGCCCAGGATAGCACGATGGATCGGCTTGTTTGCTCAGTGATGTGCAGATTGCGGGGAAAGTTGGGCGGCTCTGAAAACACGCAGCCACTTTGTTAACACATTATTTTCAATAAAACTCGTATTGGCACGAGATAAGGAAAAGTCCTTGTCAAGTTTCGCTTATTAGCATAAATTTGTTCTATAGTTTGGTGGGAATTCGCGCACCTTGCACCATTAGTTGGTTGGTTTGGGTGTCGCTGCCGTACTCGTTTGTGGCGACGCAGACGTATTCTCCGCGGTCTCGGTGATTTGCGTCTAGAATTGTGAGTTCGGAAACTGCACCGCCACCCACTTGAACGGGGGATTTTTTTACTGAAAATCTGAAATTAAACATAATTCAAGATAATCAGCAAATCGTTGTAATAAGCTTTTGCTCTAAAAAATGAGATTTAATATTTTCTTATCAAATATTGACAGGGGTATACATAAATTAAATCAGTGAGGTACAGCATGAAAAAAATTTCTTTAGATTTTATGTTATAATTTTATAAAGCTGTAAGTAAAATAAATACAAGTTTAAAAATTACTTTTGGAGTAGTTTATTTAACATAAGGAATATGGTATTGTAAGATTTTATTATTTTCTACGTTAATAAAAATCAATAGAATGTAATTTAATAAAATAAAATAAAAATATCAAAATAAATTTTATTTAAGAATTAATCTAATAAAATTAAAAAAATGCGTTATTATAAATAAAATTATTATGAAAAAATACACCGAAAGTTATTATTATTTTTTTTTATATTTGAAAATGCCAAACTATGCAACTCAAAAGCACACCTGATGCGCAGGTTGCATAGCTTTTGATATTTGCTTCTTATTTTGAATAAAATCAATATCCAATTTCTAAAAAAAAGTTATAAACATTGGATACTTTGTACGTACCTTGCGTCACTGGTTGAATCAACGATTATTCCTCTTAACTTCCACGCAATATCCATAGGATTGTCGCCTTCCGCTTCACACTTCAAGTGGACGGTGGCCCCTTTCCGGACGGTTTCACTTTTGGACTGCGTTTTGAAACGAGGGGCGGCTAAAATTCAAAATGGGCAAACTTTTTAATATCTCTCGTTAACATCAACTTTCTTTCCTATTTCAAAAGCTTCAGTCTAATGAAGGTTAAGCGTAATTTAGTTCTGAGAATGCTGGCGGCTGTCAAGGAGTGAGATTTTACCATAGACGTTGAGATGGATGACTTTGCTGAGGCCGGCTCCGATGCCGTTGCTCGCTTGGCACAAAAAGTAGCCCTCGTTCTCCTCAGTGGCGCGCGCGATAACCAGCGACCCGTTCTCCATGACCCTCAGTCTTTGACTCCGGTAGCCTATCTCTCTGTAGTCGCCGGGCTGCTTTCCTAATGACGTGAAAAACACCATTCCGCTTTCATTAGCACAAAGCACAACTTCCTAAAAGATAAGTTTGGCAGGAAAAGCATTTTTTCTGTGGTGTTTGATTATATTTATTAGAATGATAAATAAATAATAAATTAATATATAAGCAGTGAAATTCAAGTTTAGGAATCGCTTCTTTTCAACTATCATTGTTTTTTTTTTTTTATCAAATGCTAGCATTTGTAGCTAAAATTATATTTCTTATTCCAGAAGCTTATAACTTTTAAAGTAGCTTTAATCAAAGGAATTTTGTTTAGAAATGAAATTATGAATAAACATTCAACTAACAGTTTGGAAACGTTGTTAATTATTTTGTTTACCGACAAAGTTTGCCCATCAACGAGAGCAAAACTTTCTCTGTTCCTTCATCAAAGAGATTTTCGCCGCGAAACTTTTTAACTTTTTCCGCAAGTTAAATTGAATTTTGCGAATTAAGAGTTTTACGGACTTTCTTGTGAGCCTTACCGATCGCCTGCTTCCAAGTGACGGTCGGTTTGGGAAAGCCGTCCGCCTGGCATTGCAGAACCACAGACTTGCCAAGCACGACGCTCTGGTCGGAGGGCTCGACCACCCACCTCGGAGGCACTAAGGGAATAAAAAAAGGGTCAGTTTAGGCGGTCAAGTGCACACAGAGTGGAGACGCTGGTCCCTAGCTATTTACAATCTGATTGACGGACAGGAGCGGACTGATTATCAATATTTTACAGTGGAATATTTTCTGCCATTTGTGATTGCAAATTTTTCATCGGCAGTTATTTTTGTAATTATATTTACAGCTCTAGGGAATTGTGCAGAAATTCTAGCAATACGGTCAGAAGCTATGTATATTATATTTTTTTTCTGTATAGGTTGATTTCACAAATCAACACACACCAAATCGTGACTATTTTCAGCTTGGTCGGTATCGATAAGTATATAATTTGTAACACAAATTGTGCGAGAGTGAGTCCAAACTGTACTCCAATCATCAGAGTGAAAACACCAAATAGCTGTCACACATCTACAGTAAAAGCCTAATCAAAAGTAGGTAACAATGTTTCTCATATTGAATAGCAAGACCTGCAAGAGTGAGCGTCTAATTTACTTTCTTCGCATCGAGCCTAAAAGTCAAACACATTTTCAAATATGTACAAAAGTGCTGATTATTTTCGTATCTCATATTTACAGATTTTTTTATTATTTATATATATAAAATATTTTGTGTGATGTTCTTTTTAAGGTAAAAGGGCGTAGGATGTTTTTGTAGGTTCTGAAAAAGATTTAGAATAAATAATTTGGCAAAAGAAGGCTGGCTTTTGATTTGGGAAAAGGCAACCTTCTTTACGCACTCATAGACACAAAATAAATATTATTTATGCTTTCCACCGTTAAAATATTTAAAAAATTTAATTTTAAATTTTTTATTCAATAACTCAATCAGTGTGTTGTGTGTCTGGAATTTACTTTTAGGTGGAGAATTTACCAAAGTATTTATTTACGTGTCTATTATGGAATAATAAAATATAAAATTGAATTAATTTCGTGTCTAATTGTGTACTGTACCTCTCGGTTGTTGGTGGAGTTGCCTGCTTTACAGATTGGACGTGTTTCGAGAGAGAGTGTCGTGTCCTTATAATATGAGTCTAAATCTTATGGAGTAAACTACCGCTGCTACTGACAAGAGTGGGTGCAGATTTATATAATTTAAATCTATATTTATGCACATTGAAAGCAACTGGGTGAGTGAAGGGGTATATTTAAATTTTTGAATTGTTCAGACTGATAGATGGTTGAAGTGTGTGGTTTATGTACATCCATACATGAAGCGGTCCAGAGCTTATTTCCAACTAGACAAAATTCAAAAAGTCGCTGTCGATTTCTATAAAAAATGTAAATCGACTTTTGGATTTAATTTTTGGTTTGGAGGAAAAAGTGTGTAAAATGTAGGTATTATGCGAAGGATAAGTTGAGAAATTTTTCAAAGGGTTAAAACATAAAGAGCGAATAATTATGACAAACGAAAACATTTGAGGAATCTCTGTCTACTCAAAATTTTGGTATAAAGGGGTCAAAATTTGGTATTATGAAGAGAGTCTTAAGATTGAAGAGGGTTTAAAAATATGAGCAATGCTTATGCTCAAGAAATCAACTTGACGTATTAAATAGATGGTTAAAAATCGCAAGTTTTCTTAAATGAGTTGAATGGCCATGAGGATTTCAAATGAATTCATGAATTCTAGAAAAAGAGGAATAAATTAGAAAGTTACATTTTCCTTTTTAATAATTTTTTGATAAGGAGAACAGGAGAAAATGAAAATATGCTTTTATTGTGTTCAGTTCTTGTACATTTTGTATTTTGTCATTTTTATCTCTAAAAAGTACTGTAATTTGTTCACATTTTTCTTATTCACACAAACACAATGAATGAAATCTTATTATTTTTTCATAAATAATTATATCAATACATTGATAGGAATTTATTTTTTTAAATTATCTCTTAATTAGGGGTGTGGGTTTAAGTATAATTTTCAAAAATTTAATCTGAAAAATAAAATTTTGGTGGATTTTAAAAGTGAAAGTGTCTTATTTGGAATTCTATTTCAATAAAAGTCTCCCATGTATATTAATACTTTAGGAATCGCTTCTTTTCAACTATCATTGTTTTTTTTTTTTTATCAAATGCTAGCATTTGTAGCTAAAATTATATTACTTATTCCAGAAGCTTATAACTTTAAAAGTAGCTTTAATCAAAGGAATTTTGTTTAGAAATGAAATTATGAATAAACGTTGAACTAACAGTTTGGTAATTTTGTTAATTAGGGGTGTGGGTTTAAGTATAATTTTCAAAAATTTAATCTGAAAAATAAAATTTTGGTGGATTTTAAAAGTGAAAGTGTCTTATTTGGAATTCTATTTCAATAAAAGTCTCCCATGTATATTAAAAAATTAAACAATCGATAATTGAAATCTCAATGACCAACAGTGAAGTTAGTTCAATAGAAAAAAATCAGATTTTAAAATAAAATATTTAAATTTGATAAGGTACAAACAACTGATAATTAACAAATTAATGTTTTCTTTTTTTGCAAAAAAGTTAAGTAAAAAGTTATGAAAAATCATTATAATTATTTTCCAATTAAATCCTCCAAGTATAATTTAGTTTGTATATTTGTAAACGCTCAAAAATTTAAAAATGACAGCTTCATGCTTGAAAACTCTACACAAAAAGACACCATCTCAAAAGTGCTGTGGACTATTTTCTGCAGCGAAAAATTGCCTACACATCGAGAAAGGAATCATGCGTGATAAAAATCGAGCAGCAGGCAGCGTGAAGGGCAAAGGTGCGTTTTTAGAGGTGGATACTGTACCGGTGACCGAGAGGGCGGCCGTGTGCTCGACCGTGGCCGCCGCGTTCTGCACCTGGCACGAGTAGTTGCCGGAGTGGTGAGCCCGGACGCTGTCGATGGTCAGGATGCTGGAGAACGAGGTGAACTGAATGACCTCGAGGCCGTCGCCGGGCTGCAGCGCCCGACCGTCCTTGAGCCACGAGAAGACAAAGGGCTGGTCGCCCTGGCTGGTGGTGCACATGACCTGTGTGCGCAGCCCTTCGCTCGCCGCGTCAAAATAAAATGGGGACACCCGGGGAGGGACTGAAATTAGAGAGTCAGGCAAAAACATCACACCGCTTGTTTCCACACAGAGAGATCATCCGAGCCTCACTCCCGCAGGTGCGACCTGCCTTCCATCAAGTACATTTAAATCCATTCAGTTTTTCTTATACTTATAATATATTATTCAATTTTGGAATTAAAATTAATTAAATGAAAGGAAGTAAATTGACTGTTCTTTTATGCATCAAATTTTGTTTTTTAACTTTCTTTTAAGTAAAATTTATGGTAACGCTTGTGAAATGAAATTTTTTTCATTATATTTTTTTGCTGTTCTAATAAGACCAAAATTAAAAGTTTTTATTTTTTTTTATCAATTTTTTTGGAACAATTATTTAATTAATTATTTTTAATGTAAAAACATAAAGTTATAAAAATAGATAATATTTTTTTTTAATCACAAACAGTCAATTCACTTGTTATTAGAACTTTTTTAGAGCCGCAATTTTTTTTTAGATATATTAATCAGACGCAAATTTTATTTTTGTGATTCAGTCAGCATTGTGTAAATCAAACGAAATTAAACCAATTCGCTCCTGTTCAATCTGTACAAAGTGTAAGCAAAAAGGTCCAGCGGCTCCGCACAAGTCTGCGGACGGTACCGTTGACGTGGAGGCGCGCCGTGTGGGCGACGATGGCCGCGTCGTTGGCCACGCGGCACGTGAAGTTGCCGCCGTGCGCCTGCGAAATGCTGCCGATGGACAGGGCCGACGTGAAGTCGTCGTACTGACGAACGGACACGTCGCGCAGTTCGGCGCCGGCGGCGCCGACCGCCAGCACGACGCCATCCTTGAGCCACGTGAAGGTCAGCGGCAGGTCGCCGGTGACCACCACGCACTGGATGCTCGTGCGTTCGCCCACGTTCAGGTCGCGACCAAAGGAGAACGGCGTGATTTTCGGGGGCACTGCCAATGTGCAAATTGGTGAAAAAGGTGCAGAAATTTTATTAGTCACTTTTGTAATGGCGAAAATTGAGACAACGGAATATTATTTTGTGATAATTTCCTCTGAAAATGATGGAAAGTTAGTGAAAAACTTTGCAGAATATGATGCAAAATTAAAAAAAATATCAAAAATATTGTTCTTACATAATAGATTTAACAAAATAATTAATTTATTTTTATAACCATCTTGCTCTCTAAAAGCACTTTCTGGGTAAAATACAGACACATTTAATTTGCTCAAAATAATATAATTAAAACAATGTATCTTTTGAAATTGTGAAATTTCTTTTTGAATTTGAACTAAAAGTTAACAAATTTTTGAATTTTCAAATAATGAGATTTTGTAACTTTATTTTAAATTTCTAGACTTTTTTAATAGTTCGAGCATTTTCAATAAAAAATTCAAGCAGATCTTTTTACCAACTTTTTTCTTTTATGATATGAAGGCAAATATTTGCATGTAAATGAAACTGCCGTATTTATTGAAAATTGAAATAAAATCATCATAAGAACTATCAAATTTTTTCTACTACGACTTTTAGCATAAAACCTTCTTTATTTGAGACATTATAAATTAAATATTGATCCTTAAAAATCATTTTCTATTGACAAATATAATTTATTTTGTACTTCTGAAAGTGTAAAGTTCAAAATTTGGAAACTTTAAATTTAAATTAGAACATAGTTATGGTGAGATACAAACACATTGAAATGCAGAGGATTGAAAATTAAAACCATTTTCAGCTCAAGGCGAGAATTGAGAATTGATGATTGCAATTGTAAAATTGGAATAATAACATTTCACTATTAAAATAAAAAAAATGTTCCCGTTTGATTATTTTGAATTCACGTAACATATAAACATATTAAATTAATTAATCAGGTTTATTGTTTCAATGATATCAATTGAGCGTGCAACGTAAACAAGCCGCAGGAAATATCCGGTGAACAGCTCGCCCGCCGCACTTCGGAGGTCAGCTGGAAAAAAATAGCGTGTGTGCGGTCATGAAACAATAATAACCAATGACGTCCGTCGGCCGAATTGGAGCTCGTCAATCGGCATTGGTGTTTGCATTTGCACCACCAAAATTGAAATAAATTAATGGTGGTGGCGCGGAAATAATAATCGGGTGAAAAATAAATCCTGTAATTAGACGTGAGAGGCCAACACTAGGCGAGCATTGTAATTTGTCCCGACGCGCAAAAAAATGCAAATTTAATTGCTAGAGAGAGCTGTCTGCAGCACACAATGCCGCGCCGAATGTGTATTGTGATTATAATTACTCGCGAGGCGCCATCTGCTGCTGAAATGAACGAAAATTATTGCTGTTGGTTGCCGCATTTTTGATCAACTGTAATTACGCGAGACCGCCGCCGTGCCGTATTATTATTGCTATCATCGATACACGCCGCGTAAATTATTGCAAAGCGTCTCTCTTTCTCTGAAAGCACTCGCAGGAAATTAGTTTCGGCTGCTTGTTGAGTGCGAAAGCGAATTTATTGCGACAGATAAATGATCATCGGTTTTTGCGCTTCGCAGCTGTTGCAAGTGCACGAACGCGAACACACAGCACGCGAGTACGCCGCTCTTTTTTCATTCCGCGTGCGAATTTGATTTTCACTGCAAACCTATATATCTAGGCAACCCTCCCTCCCTCGCTCCGGCGTTGGTGATTTATTTCGAATTAGTTTTCGGTGGCGCCGGATAATTTAACTTCGATCATCCCCTTTCAATGTACAATTTGCGAGAGACCTCGTGCAGCAGTTTCTCTTGCTTGATTCGAAATTAAGTGTTTGCGGACAAGAGTCTATGGAATTTAACTTTCACAAAGACTGGCAATGCAATGACTTTGTCTGATTTTAAGATTCCGATATTTTTCAATAAGTAACAAAAAAAAAAGAATAAAAAAATGGAGAACAATTTCAAGTAAAACGACTGGGAAAAATTAATTGTAAGTAAAAAATGTTGTCTGTTTGAATGATTGAATGAGTGATTTTAAATAAATATATATTTAAATTTTTGTTTTTCAAAAACTGACGATTTTTTTTTTTTAATTGTGTATATTTAAATTTTTCTCCGAATGCTTTTCCTGGAATATTTTGATGTTCTCTTAATTTTTATGATATTTTAACAATTTAATTATTTCTCTCTATAATTACAATTTATTTTGATAGGAGAAAACACGGTTGTGTTAGTATGTCATAATAGTTGCAAATGATATTAAATTTATTCATATATCACAGAGGCCCATATCAAGATGTTCTAACAAATTTAAAACGATTCATAGATAAATTTATGCAGATGTGGTAATAATTAAAAAAAAATTATTTATCAACAAATGAAATCATTTTAAAATCCTGGTGAGAATAATAACAATCACGAATCTTATGATTAAAAACGCAAAAGTCCATGGCTAGAATAGAGAATTGAGAATAATCGCTTGTGCATTGAGAGATGACCATGTTCAACAGTAAATAAAGAAATTTATAGTTGATATCAAAACTCTAGCAAAAAACTTTGAATCAATGAATAAGAGATTTAAAATATTAATTTAAAATATATTATAAACGTAAAATAAAATAAAATATCAAATATTAATAATAAGAAATTACATTTTCAAACTAAAAATATGCGGTTAAATTTTTTTTTATTAAACAATATTTGGTAGATTATATATTTATGAACATTTTTCAAACTATATTAAACATTTAAATCGCAACTTACAATTGTCAACTTTATTTTATTAGTATAAACTTGGGGCCAACTATTGATCCCATTCTCGCTTTCACCTTTTAGTCACAATATTTCACTGCTGACCTGGATTATGAAGTGGACGGTGGCGGAAAGTGCAGATGCAGATCCCTGCTTTGTCACCAACCACCGTCAGCAATATCGGAGGCCGAGAGATAAATTTTCCTGGCTGGCAAAATGCAGCCGCGTGGTGCCAAAAATAACTGGACTTTATGGGACGCAGAGGGGCAAAAAGGCCGCCAGATAAGACACCCACCGCGCTAACGCAGCTTGATAAATTTAGATCTTTTCGGCCGACCGAGCTGCTAATAGTCCGGAATTGCGGCAGTGAAAAATTGGAAAGACAAAAAGAAAAGAAAGTCGGACGCAGAGGGAGCCGGAGAAATTAAATTGTTTGAGATCTTTTGCTCGAGGTGGAAAAAAAAAGATTATTTTTTCTTCTCAATAAAGCCATGGAATTACTGCCGAACAATAAGTCAAAGCCGACGGGTCTGTCCGAGACAAGTAATTTAGAGAACAATTCTGTCGGAATCGACGGACAAGAAAGGAAAGCAGACTTTTTTAAAGCGCCTTTTTATTATTTTCCAACTGTGCCGGAAAGAGGAAATAATTCGAGAGTGCGTCTGACAGCGAAACAGACTTGGGTGTAGTCAAAGTTCCATTGGCAGTGAGGATAAAGAGTTGCAAAATCCATTTTGTTTTTAAATTAAATCCACTCTTTGGAATTTATGACGGACAAAAAAAAATGTGTGCAGCAAAGTTCAAAAGAATTTCAGCAGCGAAATTGCGTCCACGTGGAAATTTGTAACTGTCGGCATGCGCGTTTTTTGGATGAAAATTAACAGCATTTTTCCGCTCTGGGCGGGCGTGCCGGGTAGATTATTAAGGGCAGCCAGGCTATAAAGCACTTGGCCCACCCGTTGAAATGAGTAACGGCTCCAGTTTAATGAGCTTTTTTGACTTTGCTGCTCCGGAAAAAAATAAGTAACACGCTGAGAGGGCTGGGGGAAAAAGCTAGGCAATCGTAAATTTGCGAATTAATGGCGCAAAATTACTCGGCCGGGTTTCATTAAAGCCCCCAATTTCGGTTCTAATCTAATGATGATGAAAAAGAGGACTGCGAACAAAAAATTGGTCCGAATTCCGAGTGGTGCGAATTTTATTTCGCCGCGCTTTTTTTCCGCTCCAGCGTGAAAAGCATAAAGAAAAATTTGATACTCCACACGCAAAAGCAATTTCCTGCTGACGCCGGCGAAATAAATATTGCACTCTGTCGCTCCACTTTCGCGCCACCAAATTCGATAAACTCGAGAGATTATTCACAGTGGAGAGGTTTGCTCTGCATTGTCGCCCGCCCTCTGCTCCTCTCGCGCGCCGGCTTATTTAATTTTGGTCCTATTTGTGCGGTTGAAATTGTCGGCCTCTCGTGCTTTTAAGGACCGACGCTCAATTCTGCCCCTGAGAGGATAATTTACGGCGCCCCTGAGTGCGAACATCCAACATTGCGGGCTGCTGTCAAGTCAACAAAAAAGTAAAAATATCTTGGGATATTTTCTGCTACACTTTTGAACAATTTTGTAGGAAATTGGTTGAAATGAAAACATTTTGAGTCAAGATTTATATTTGATTTAATCTTATTTTATTTTTATTTTCAGTTCTTAATAAAAATTAATAATTTTGTTCACATTAGCAATCACAGGACAAACCAATGAAAGGAAATAATAGTATTTCTGTTAATTTCAAGCAATTTCGCAATTAACTCGCAACAATTTATAATAAAAAGTTTGGATATATATAGAATATCTAATTTTATTTTAATTGGATTATTCAGTGGAAACGATTAAAACCTCTAAAATATAAAAAAAAAAAAAACAACTTATTATATATTGTTTTAAAGTAATTATTATAAAATTTCTAAATAAATTTATTTAACTGAACTTATTTAAAACTATTAAGCAATTTGGTTTGTTGTTATGTTAACATTAGAGAGTCATTATTACTAATTTTAAATAGAATGCTTATATAAAGTGTGAATAAATTTCTTATTTAATAACAAATTCAGCAAATCATATTAATCGAAACGTTTTAAGCGCTAGAGATTTATAGATTATCATAATTACCTTGTGCCAATATCGTCTAAAATAACCCAGAATTTAACGATGGAAAATATTTATTTAACCGTAAAAATATTTATTATTATTTTGGTTAA